ACATTTGTCTGTCTAGTGACTACAATGGCCAGCTATGTTATGTGGAGCACAGTGGTGTAGTGGTTAGCATGCTGGCCTCTCACGCCAAAGGCCCGGGTTTGAATCCCGTTTGAGACACCAAAATTTGTGACCTGGGTCTCATACTGTGTTGTGTCCCTGGGCAAGGCACTTTGTCCATATTGCACTCAGTCCACCCAGCTGTTTAAAATGGGTACCTGAAAAGCAGATGTACAGACCTATACGGTCGCGCTTAGCGTTTAGTAGCAGCTTTGAAAGTACAATTCCGTCAGGGTAATAATGTAACGCCAGAGAACAGCATCGCGTTGGATTCTAGGCACAAAAATTAGCATTATTATTATTATTATTACTATGTTGGTAAACTGTTAAATGTCTTTTGCTTTTGATAAATGTTTTGTGTTTGTAGTGAATATGTAACCAGATACCTTAATGTCGACATTTGTCTGTCTAGTAGCCTACAATGGCCAGCTATATTTGTCAACTGTTTAATGTCTTTTGCCTTAATGAATGTTTTGTATTTGAATTGAATATGTAACCAAATACCTTGATATAAACATTTGTCAGCTGAATAACGTACAATGGTCAATTCTGTTTCATATCTTGCAAATGATAAGTATATTGTATTTGTAATGGATATGTAATTAAAGCCCTTAATGTCGATATTTATCAGCCAAATAACCTACAACGGTCATTTGTTTAAAGTCTATCACAAATGATAACTATTTTGTATTGAATATGTAACTAAACCTCTTAACGCCACATCTGTCGGCCCAGTGACCTACAGAGGCCGGTATACTTATCAGCTGTTTAGTATCTATTACAGTTAATTAGTAAGATTGTATTTGTGATAAGAATGTAACTAAATGCTTAATGGCCACATTTGTGGACAAAGTAGCCGCCTATGTGGATATCCTGTTTCCTGTCCCAACAGGATCTGTATGTAGATCTCTGACTACCGGATCACGGTGGTAGATGAGTCTGTGTCATACAAACACTGTAAGTCAGGTAATTAACCTTGTCAGATTTGTCAGGGTTGTCAGTTATCAGCGCTACACTGACAATGGCAGGGCTATAATGGCAGTGTCACGATACAGGGTCATTATCACAGGGGGCATATTGAGTGTTTTTGTATCAGTGTCTGTTTATGAATATATTAATGTAAATAGGTTTATCTGGTATTTATATAAGCATTAAGGGATGACAGGGGATACCTTATCGGGATATATCTGTACTGTTGGAGAACAAAGCGGACGTAAAGTCAAGCCCTTTGATTTATAATGATGTCTGTAAATCCTAATTACATACTTGCATAAATTCTTTCACTATCATCCCAATAACATACTGGCACAAATTCTCTATCTGTCTCGCCCCAATTACATACTGGCACAAATTCTCTATCTGTCTCACCCCAATAACATACTGGCTCAATTTCTTTATCTATCTCATCCCAAATAACAAATTACGTGTGAAGATCCGGGTTAGAATTGGTCTTCAGAAACCCATGCTTGTCATAAGAGGAGACTAATGGGATCAGATGGTCAGGCTCGCTGGCTTGGTTGACACATATTAGGCAGGCAGGCTTCACACCATCCTATCCCAGTTGCATTTATCGATGCTCATGCTGTTGATCACTGGATTGATTGGTCCAGACTCGATTATTTACAGACCAATGCCATATAACTGGAATATTGTGTTAAGCACCAAACAAGTAATACTGGCACAAATTCTCTATCTATCTCAGAGAACAGGCAAACACTCAAGTCCTATAAACTATGTAATGATCACAGAAACTTGATCATTCATATTCAAAGCAGATTGGGGGCGATGGGGTAGCCTAGTGGTTAAAACGTTCGCTCATCATGCCGAAGACCGGGTTCGATTCCCCACATGGGTACAATGTTTGAAGCCCATTTATGGTGTCCCCCACCGTGATATTGCTGGAATATTGCTAAAAGCGGAGTAAAACTAAACTCACTCACTCACTCACTCAAAGCAGATTTTACGAGGTTATATTTACTGTATGGTTCATGCAGTCAAGCTCAGACCTGGTATGTAAAATTTAAAATGTAACATTTTCACAAAGCATGACCATTTCATGCCTTCATTAACTTTCAATTTATAGTATTTTTTATAAATGTACTCTACTTGACCAAAATAGTGACCATCCATTTGTTGAAGGTATTTGCCTGTGCTCTAACATGGCTGTAAAAGGGTCTGAAAGATTTACCTTAAGTCCCAGGAGTAAAGTTACCTTATTTTAAAATGTATATTTAAACAAAAATCCAAATCCTAGAACAATGCTAGACTTGCCAAATCATTCTAGACTTGAGTAGGGGTCCTGTTTGATATATTCTCTTGTATAATCAGGATCTTGTCAATCTGATGGCATGGGTTTGAGATTTTACTGGTGCTTCAGCATAGAGATACAGAATTACAGTCCGTTTGATTCATTTGAGACCGATAAATTGCTCACTAACATCTAATAATTGCAACAAAACCAAATTTTGCAGTCACGTAAAACCGACAGACCAACTCTGACAGTTGGGCATAATTTTGGACACCTGAATGAAAAAAAGTTGTTTAACAAACGATCATTATTTCGTATTAAATAACTTCTCGCTATATTTTACGATGGGGGGGCACTTGATGGTAGAACAGCCAGGTGTGCAAGTTGCAAGTGTGAAACTGAAATTTCACTACACATGCTTTTTGATTACCTGGCTGTTCTACCAGCAAGTGGTCCCCCCTCGTAAAAATAGCGAAAGTGACAACAAAGTAATGATCGTTTGTTAAACAACTTTGATGATAGAGAGAGTTGTTCAGATCTCTAGCCATGTTCATAAGCCTGTACAGGGGCTGTTTATAGGTATGTTTAGAATATAAGCACTATCGGTTCATGGATGAATTATAATATGATTCAACAAGAATACAAAGTCTCTCCCATCTATAATTATGTACATAACATTATAAATAGCATGTCACATGTTTTATTATGTGGATACAGGTTAATCCTGAAGCTTAATCCAAAAAGCTTTATGATTCATTACCAACTGAATCCTTGAATTCTTTAATTGCTTGCTATCCCTTCCAAAGATGAATTAGTAATGTTTTTTTTTAATAAACAGAAGCTTTTAATTTTTTAGCAATGTTGCTAACAATATTTTCAAAATTTCAAAATTTATAATTCAGTTGAGAACAGAAAAGACAGGCAAAACAATTCCTGAATTTATAAATGAATCTTTTAAAATAAAATCTGAATGATGAAGTCTTGCCCCATTGTCAGGGTCTGTTGTCATGTGACCAACCAAATCAGTAAGTTGGACCACCCAATCCACTTCATCTCAAAGATGATCACAGAATACACAGCGGGTTTTTGTGATGTATGGCTTCTAATGTGATTACAATGTTTCATCAAGAGATGTTCAAAGGCCAGAAATCTTTCTTAGTTAACAGATTTGTGTGTGAAACATCCAGCAGATAGGGATTATTTTTGGACTTTTGGGGGTCCTTAGAAAATGAAAATGTTGTTGTTCAGTGTTAGTTTAGTTTCCGTTGCGGGGTTTGCAGTTAATCATAATCAACATGCAAAATATTCTTGTGTGAACATCTACTTTTTCATTTGGGGGATATATTTTAAAAAATTAAATATATGGTTTTTTTAATTCAAGTTAGGAGAATTTGTAAACATATTTTTTGTACTTTTCTCAAAGTATGGAATGAGAAGGAGGGTGTTTGGTGTGATGGGATAAGACCCTCCACAATCCGTGCATCTTGTGGGATGGGTTTTGATCAATTGTATTGATACAAATGTAATTATTTGTTTGAGTGTCATTCTAGAAGTTGGTGGTATAGAGATGACAACACTTTATGGGTGATCAACTTATTTTCACAATGGGGAAAATAAAAAAATAAAATAAAAAAAAAATAAAAAAAAATAAAGAAGTTGATCATCCATAAAATTTGTCATCTCAAATGTAATTAAACTGTACGACAATCCAAAATGTATGCATCTGGGGGATTAACCAAAATACACCAGTCTTCTGACAGACACTGTCAAATGTTAAATGTCACAGTTAAATGGATAGATTAGATAATCATAATGAAAATTGCATAATGAATATTTTGACAGGAAAATGATAATTAGTTCTGTTCATAACCCTCTGAGATGGATATCATTCCACTGCTCACAAGTGACTTCAAAGAGCTTCATATAACTATTCTTGAAAAACTGTTTCATCAATATTACAACTCTCAAGGTTTCAATAAAGCTTTGAAAGAGTTTTGTGTTAAACATGTGAAGGACATTACCAGTAGTCAGGTTGCTGACTTGGTTGACACATGTCATTCTATCCCAACTGCGAAGATCAATGACCATGCTGTTGATCACTGTATTGTCGGGTCCAGACTTGATTATTTACAGACCGCCGCCATATAGCTGGAGTGTTGCTGGGTGTGGACATAAAGTCAAGTGTAAAACTAAACTCGCTCGCTCGCTCACTCACTCACTCACTCACTCACTCACTCACTCACTCACTCACTCACTCACTCACTCACTCACTCACTCACTCTACTCACTCACTCACTCACTCACATTTGGCTTACACTATATGTACTTGAATTTTATACAGTTGAATAATTGACCTGCCTTTGCATGTGTTTGTGATGGATACCAGATATGCTCACATATTTTGTAATATTAATCGACTCTACTTTAAATAAACAATTCTTATGAATATGGAAAAGGTGTTGTCGGTTTATTTCAATTAGAGAGGTGGGGTAGCCTAATGGTTAAAGCATTTGCTCATCACAGCGAAGACCCAGGTTCGATTCCCCACATGGGAACAATGTCTGAAGCCCATTTCTGGTGTCCCCTGCTGTGATATTGCTGGAATAGTGCTAAAAGCGGAGTAAATCTAAACTCACTCACTCACTTATTTATTTCAATTTTTTGCAATTTATTACTTTAGTTTTTGTTTTTTCAGCTCTTTCCATTCTGCCTCGTGTTCGACAGCCACATGCTGATCCGGTACATGGGGCACAACCTAACCAGCGTGTTCCAGAACAGGACACTGATTGGCTGCAAGATCTCAGACAAATTTGGGCTGCGTAGACCTCTGGTTGACTTCACTTGGGAAAACGTAAGTGCAATCCCATTTAAATTAGATCTTTGACTCCAATAGAAACCTTTCTACGTGAAGATGTAACAACCACTCCATAGATGATAACACCAGCATACCCTTCAGATTCGAATGAATGTCACTGCCAAGATTTGAATGAATGTCGCTGCCAACGATGATTAAGATAGACTGGGGTGGTGTAGAGGGTTAAAAGTAGCTTTTACTGTGAAGAGGATGCTTCAGTGTAGATCAATGTCTAGTCGGAGGAGCAAGATGAGACTCGTAGGCTGTGGGAGGCGAAAAAGGCCGATAATCAAATACTTTGATAACAATATGGATTTCTGAAAATATTCATTTATTCTATAGTCTGTTTGCAGTGAAAACGTACCGATGAATTTCACTTTAAACAAAAAAGTAAATCAGATAAAGTGAAATTAAGACTGCGAATCCTCATAAATTTGCCTTGCCAACTGAACATTTAAATCTCAGAATTTTATTCATTGTAGGACAAAAGTTGTTTAACAAACGATCATACATTCAAATCGCTATTATTGGTTTGTATTACAAAGGGGTGAGCGCAGTAGATGGAACAGTGAAACAAATGCACGTGCGGTTCGTGATGAGCATTAACTTGGACCAACTCTACTTGTTCTCGGTGTTTCATTTAATGTGCATACACCCTTGTAATACAAACCAATAATAGCGATTTGAAACTATGATCGTTTGTTAAAAAACTTTTATCCTAAGTTGAATAAAATTCTGAGATTCAAATGGTCAGTTGGCAAGGTAAAATTATGAGGATTCGCAATCTTAATTTCATCTTATTCGATTTACTTTTTTGTTTAAATTGACATTCATCGGTACGTTTTCAATGCAAACAGACAATAAGAACTGCTTTATAAATTGTAAATTTGAGAGCTTAGGGTGGCACACACTTTAATTTGTTTTCATGGTATGATAAAACACATACATATGAAACTATGAAATCCTTCTCTCCTAGGTTACATACCTGTCAACTCTCACGCATTTGGCGTGAGTCTCACGCTTTATTGACAAATGTCACGCTCTCACGCCTCCAAATAATAATCTCATGAATATCTGGTAGCCAAAAATAATTTCAAAATTAATATGCATTTTCGTTCGTTTTTGCGTAAAGTTGAACATTGAAAGAACGCCTGAATGAACGAAGTACTAAAACGATGTTTATGCGAATGATTCGGCTTATTATTATTTATTAGCATGCATCTTTTAGTGTCAAAATAATGCCACCAGAAGGTTCCAAATGCTCCTGAAAATCACTAAACTTCATTTTCGAGGGGGTGGGGGCTTCTGCCCCCAGAGACCCCCCACCAGGGCGTTGCCCTCGACATGACCCCGGCTGGACCCCGGCTTATTTTTTTCAGTCTCACTCCAAACCATCTTTAGGGGTTGACAGCTCTGAGGTTATGTGACATCAAGTGACATATGAATGTGTGTGTACAGATACTACTGGTAAGACAACTAGCAGTAACAATGAGAAAAGAAGCATACATAAAAGGAAACAGAAATCGTTCACTCACTGTCAAATGTTTAATATGTGACACCGTGAAGAATGTGTGGGCCAATCAGATTTCACATTTCTAAAATGATTCATTGTCCTATTTTATGACCTTGAGTCAGAAATGTTTACTTTAACTACAGAAAATTCACAGAAATATTCTTTAGATGGCCCTCTGCTTGGTAGGTAAATGCTATAGCGCTCAGAGAACATGGATAAAATATCCACAACATAATGGTGTGGTCTTTGATATATACCTTCAGCAGAGATCATCGAAGTCTTTATGTAATGCTGAAATCTGAATGCTTTGCCGATTTTTTACTGAGAAATGCCCATTTTTTCTTTAAAAAACAGAAACTTTGACACTAATTGGCTAATTGGAAAAGTTATCTGACATGACCTCCTACTAATTTGATCTTCACACCAGCAGGTATGATATCTGCCTTTAGTGAGATAGTGTAAGTGTTCATCTCACCGAGTATGTTAGGGTAGTCGGTGCTTGAGGTGGTTCATCCAGTCTGAGACTCATGTAGACAATGTAAGGTTGATATGGTTGAGTATATGGTTGATCTTCAGTACCCAATGCTTCTCATATGAGGTGACTCATTGGATCGGGTGGTCCGACTTCTCACCATCTTATCCCAATTGTGTGTATTGATGTTCATGGTGTCAATCACTTGATTGTCTGGCCCAGGCTTGATCATCATCGTAGGGCTGGAATATTAGGGAGTGAGTGAGTGAGTGAGTATGGTTTTACGCCGCTTTTAGCAATATTCCAGCAATATCACGGCGAGGGACACCAGAAATGGGCTTCACACATTGTACCCATGTGGGGAATCGAACCCGGGTCTTCGGCGTGACGAGCGAACGCTTTAACCACTAGGCTACCCCACCGCCCCTTATTAGGGAGTGTGGCCTTAAACAAATGAACACACAAACAAATTATATAAATGATCAATGCTGGAATACTAGCTTTGAAAATGTCTCTGCACCCTTTCTTGTGAGAATTGTATTGTTGAAAGATCATCACCCTATCTTCATTAGTAACACTGGTAACCAAATAAAATATGGATCCTAAATTAAATGTCCTTTCCCAAACTAAAATTTGAAGTTATTTATATTGTGAGGTGAAATTTGATTTCCATCAACCAGGGTTTTACATGACTCGTGATTCCTGCGTATTTGACGCAATAAGTTTGTAATAGACTCTCAAAATATTCAAGCTTGACGCAAGTTTTATGAGTGACCCTCAGAATTCAGTTCAATAAAATCGATTTGATAAGCAAACAATGATAGTTTTCGAGAGGTCTTCATTAATTTTGATATTTCTTTCAATTCATGTTAATAACTGTATGCTACAGTGAATAAATCACAAGCATGATTATGTGTTCAGTATACTGGAGTTTGTTATGACTGAACTGAACAGTGAAAAATGTACTATTTATTAACTAACATATGAATGACAATACAACACAACATAAAAAATCTTCGCAAAACTCTTGCTTTTTTATCTATGCACATAAATATTACGCTAAAACTTTAATCACTCCCAAATATTGAAAATGACTCCTAAAAATAAATACTGTTGGTCAGCATGACTCTTTTTTCAAAGTCTGTGTAAAACCCTGCATCAACAGGATAACATCTAATTCTTGACAATTTCTACCATGATTTTGTTTTTTTAATTCTCCAATTTTGCCTCGACATTTAGTATGTTTCTTCAACAGATTTCTTAGTGATTGCATTGGTAATCAGTGATAATTCTTTGATGGTACATTCTAAGATCCTAGCAGTTAGATGATACGAAAAATAAATATTTTGATAGACAATAAAGATATAGGTTTTGATTGTAACAATTGATAAGGTTATCCCATCACTCGCGATTCTAGTACTATAATGTCGAACCATTTTAATTACGTCACAATGTAAGCGAAGTCACAATGCATACATCAGTTGTCATCTTAAGCCTCCTACAGTAAACTTCTTCGGTCCATTGATTTCTTGGTTTGTTGCTTCATGCAGCTAAAATCACTGGTGGAAATGGTACTTTATGTTATTCTTTGACGGTTAAAATATGTCAATTCGATCACAAGTTTTCAGCTTTGACGGTAATGTTGATAATGTTTACATTCCCACAATGCAACGTTGAATGTCACTGACTACTCAGCTTCATCTGGATGTACTGATGTAAACTTACTTTGATAGTAGAAATACGGCGTTCATATTGCCCCATATAATACGTTAATGACAGATGTAATTAAAATAATTCAGAGAAGATATTTAATCATGCGTAAACCGTCTTCAAACTGTTATCATTTGTTTTTCTGGTAACGTTCATCTTAACGTGAGGGGGCAGACTGAGAACACTTTGCCTGTTAGCCCTGTGCGAGGATTCTTGATTTGGGTCACCGACACCCGGCGTTTGTTTTCTGCCTTAATTTGGTAATTATTCTTTATTAAATTTGGCATCTAGAGAAATACAGTTTGCTCTACCACCATGTATAGTGATAATACTTTGCCCTGAACTATCATAGTTATTCTTTGATGCTTACACTGATATAATACTTTGATGGTACACTGATAATGAACTATATTGATAAATAATAATTCTTTGATGGTGCATTGATCATTCTTTGATGATACTTTGCTGGTACTTTGATAGTAATTAGATAATTATTTGATTGTACATTAATAATTCTTTGATGAGTCTTTGATAGTACTATAATGTTTACCTAATTATGCGTTGCTATTTCTTTGATGGCACTGATAATACTTAAGGATTAAAGGACACTGATTTGGTCTTTGATGTTTGATGGTACACTGATAATTCTTTGATGGTGCTTTGGTAATTCTTTGATGGTACACTGATAATACTTTGATGGTACTTTGGTTATTCTTTGATGGGACACTGATAATACTTTGATGGTACTTTGGTTATACTTTGATGGGACACTGATAATACTTTGATGGTACTTTGGTTATTCTTTGATGGTACACTGATAATACTTTGATGGTACTTTGGTTATTCTTTGATGGTACACTGATATTACGTTGATGGTACTTTGGTTATTCTTTGATGGTGCATTAATAATTCTTAAGTAGTATAATTATTAGAAACAATATAACAACAGCTTCATCCTTCTGTCTCCCTCTATCTACAAAGCAATCAGCACTTGTAAACTGGCATTTCTCCACTTCAGATCATGTGCCTCCAGAAAGTTATATTTGAAATGGAATCGGAGCAGCAGCTACACAAAATACGGAGGTCTGACCGGTACAAGCGCATGACTGCAGGGGGCGAGAGGTCCAGTCTACTACTGCGGGGACAGATGAAGTACATGAAAGACTGGTCGTGTATGGCCTTCCTCTGTACCCCACTGTGAGTTGACACACTGAGAGATAGACCGACACACTCACAGTTACCAGTTCTACAGATACTCAAAAGTGCCTGTCAGAGTTAATAACAGATCTACAGATAGCTGTATGATATTTTGAAACAAGCAGTATTACATTCATCTATGTTCATTCAATAATATAAGTGCAACATTCAACAGTGTAACGCTCAACATTATCAGTGTGACATTCAACAGTGTAACATTCAACATTATCAGTGTAACACTCAACATTATCAGTGTGACATTCAACATTATCAGTGTAACATTCAACACTGTCAGTGTAACACTCAACAGTGTAACATTCAACACTGTCAGTGTAACACTCAACAGTGTAACATTCAACACTGTCAGTGTAACACTCAACAGTGTAACATTCAACAGTGTCAGTGTAACATTCACACAGTGTCAGTGTCAACATTCAACATTATCAGTGTAACACTCTCAACATTATCAGTGTGACATTCAACAGTGTAACACTCAACATTATCAGTGTAACACTCAACAACAGTGTAACATTAACACTCATCAGTGTGACATTCAACAGTATCAGTGTAACACTAACACTCAACAGTGTAACATTCAACACTGTTAAACTCAACAGTGTAACATTCAACACTGTCAGTGTAACATTCAACACTGTCAGTGTAACATTCAACAGTGTAACATTCAACACTATCAGTGTAACATTCAACACTGTCAGTGTAACACTCAACAGTAACATTGTGTAACATTCAGTGTAACATTCACAGTGTCAGTGTGTAACATTCGACACTGTCAGTGTTACATTCAACAGTGTAACATTCAACACTGTCAGTGTGTAACAACGGTGTAACATTCGACACTGTCAGTGTAACAGTGTAACACTCAACAGTGTAACATTCGACACTGTCAGTGTTACATTCAACAGTGTAACATTCGACACTGTCAGTCAATTGTAACCTCAACAGTAACACTGTGTCAACAGTGTTAACAATCAACACTGTCAGTGTTACATTCAACAGTGTAGCAACACCTCAACATTATAACAGTGTAACACCCAACAGTGTAACATTCAACACTGTCAGTTCAACAGTGTAACATTCAACAACGTAACACTCAACAGTGTCAGTCAACACTGTCAGTGTAACACTCAACAGTGTAACATTCAACAGTGTGTAACATTCAACACTGTCAGTGTTGTCACAGTGTAACACTCAACATTATCAGTGTAACATCGACACCGTCAGTGTAACACTCAACATTATCAGTGTAACACTCAACAGTGTAACACTGTCAGTGTAACACTCAACAGTATCGGTGTTACACATTCACACTGTGTAACATTCAACATTATCAGTGTTACATTCAATATTAACACTATCGTCAGTGTAACATTAAACACTATAAATGTAACATTCAGTATCATGTCTTTGCTCAGTGTAACACTCAACATTACTCACCTCCATTCAACAGTACCTCAACAGTGTAACACTTACATTATCAGTGTTACATTATTAAGGCCAGTATGGTACCATGTCTTTGATACAGCTAAAATACTAGCAATGTTAATGCTACACTATCTAACTATGGCAAAGATTCAAACTGGTACCATACCCTCAGCTCATCACTTTGTCGACTGTTTAAGGCATCCTGAAAGGTAGGGGAATATGAGGAGTCTTGAGGTTTGCTTATAACTATAGCATCAGTAAAGAGTCGAAGATGCATCCTCATCATGTTTGTTGTGCTGTTGTGTATAGTAACCTTTAGTGACAAGATCTTGACATAATAGTTGCTGCTGCTGTTGTTGATATCTGGATGTTCTGTTTCAGAATAGGCAACTTAGAAGATATGGAGACAACAGGACTATTTGTCAATGACCTCAACATGTTTGACAACAGCCAGGATATGGTGCTAGCAGGCTGGCACCATGCATCTCAGCTGGAGTATCTTGTAGACCGGGTATGTAGGTGTATCTTGTAGACCGGGTATGTAGGTGTATCTTGTAGACCGGGTATGTTGGTGTATCTTGTAGACCAGGTATGTTGTATCTTGTAGACCGGGTATGTAGGTGTATCTTGTAGACCGGGTATGTAGGTGTATCTTGTAGACCGGGTATGTAGGTGTATCTTGTAGACCGGGTATGTCGGTGTATCTTGTAGACCGGGTATGTCGGTGTATCTTGTAGACCGGGTATGTTGGTGTATCTTGTAGACCGGGTATGTTGGTGTATCTTGTAGACCGGGTATGTTGGTGTATCTTGTAGACCGGGTATGTTGGTGTATCTTGTAGACCGGGTATGTTGGTGTATCTTGTAGACCGGGTATGTTGGTGTATCTTGTAGACTGGGTATGTTGGTGTATCTTGTAGACCGGGTATGTCGGTGTATCTTGTAGACCGGGTATGTAGGTGTATCTTGTAGACCGGGTATGTCGGTGTATCTTGTAGACCGGGTATGTCGGTGTATCTTGTAGACCGGGTATGTCGGTGTATCTTGTAGACCGGGTATGTCGGTGTATCTTGTAGACCGGGTATGTAGGTGTATCTTGTAGACTGGGTATGTTGGTGTATCTTGTAGACCAGGTATGTTGGTGTATCTTGTAGACCGGTATGTAGGTGTATCTTGTATGTTGGTGTATCTTGTAGTATCTTGTATGTTGGTGTATCTTATATGTTGGTGTATCTTGTAGACCGGGTATGTTGGTGTATCTTGTAGACCGGGTATGTTGGTGTATCTTGTAGACCGGGTATGTTGGTGTATCTTGTAGACCGGGTATGTTGGTGTATCTTGTAGACCGGGTATGTTGGTGTATCTTGTTGGTATGTTGGTGTATCTTGTAGACCGGGTATGTTGGTGTATCTTGTAGACTGGGTATGTTGGAGTATCTTGTAGACCGGGTATGTCGGGTGTATCTTTAGACCGGGTATGTTGGTGTATCTTGTAGACCGGGTATGTCTGTGTATCTTGTAGACCGGGTATGTCGGTGTATTTTGAATACCGGTTATGTCGGTGTATCTTTAGACCGGGTATGTTGGTGTATCTTGTAGACCGGGTATGTCGGTGTATCTTGTAGACCGGGTATGTTGGTGTATCTTGTAGACCGGGTATGTTGGTGTACCTTGTTGACCGGGTATTTGGGTATGTTGGTGTATCTTGTAGACCGGGTATGTTGGTGTATCTTGTTGACCGGGTATGTTGGTGTATCTTGTAGACCGGGTATGTTGGTGTATCTTGTAGACCGGGTATGTTGGTATGTTGGTGTATCTTGTAGACTGGGTATGTTGGTGTATCTTGTAGACCGGGTATGTTGGTGTATCTTGTAGACCGGGTATGTTGGTGTATCTTGTAGACCATGGGTATGTTGGTGTATCTTGTAGACTGGGTATGTTGGTGTATCTTGTAGACCAAGGTATGTTGGTGTATCTTGTAGACCGGGTATGTTGGTGTATCTTGTAGACTGGGTATGTTGGTGTATCTTGTAGACCGGGTATGTTGGTGTATCTTGTAGACTGGGTATGTTGGTGTATCTTGTAGACTGGGTATGTTGGTGTATCTTGTAGACTGGGTATGTTGGTGTATCTTGTATACCAGGTATGTTGGTGTATCTTGTAGATGTTGGTGTATCTTGTAGACAGGTATGTTGGTGTGTCTCTTGTAGACTGGGTATGTTGGTGTATCTTGTAGACCAGGTATGTTGGTGTATCTTGTAGACCAGGTATGTTGGTGTATCTTGTAGACCAGGTATGTTGGTGTATCTTGTAGACTGGGTATGTTGGTGTATCTTGTAGACCAGGTATGTTGGTGTATCTTGTAGACCAGGTATGTTGGTGTATCTTGTAGACCTGGGTATGTTGGTGTATCTTGTAGTATGTTGAGTATGTTGGTGTATCTTGTAGACCAGGTATGTTGGTGTATCTTGTAGACTGGGTATGTTGGTGTATCTTGTAGACTGGTATGTTGGTGTATCTTGTAGACCAGGTATGTTGTAGACTGGGTATGTTGGTGTCTTGTGGAGCGGGTATGTTGGTGTATCTTGTAGACTGGGTATGTTGGTGTATCTTGTAGACCGGGTATGTTGGTGGTGTATCTTGTAGACTTGGTATGTTGGTTTATCTTGTAGACCGGGTATGTTGGTGTATCTTGTAGACTGGGTATGTTGGTATGTTGGTGTATCTTGTAGACCGGGTATGTTGGTGTATCTTGTAGCCCGGGTATGTTGGTGTATCTTGTAGACCGGGTATGTTGGTATGTTGGTTTATCTTGTAGACCGGGTATGTTGTGTATCATGTAGACTGGGTATGTTGGTGTGTCTTGTAGACCGGGTATGTTGGTATGTTGGTTTGTCTTGTAGACCGGGTATGTTGGTGTATCTTGTAGACTGGGTATGTTGGTGTATCTTGTAGACCGGGTATGTTGGTGTATCTTGTAGACCAGGTATGATGGTGTGTCTTGTAGACCGAGTATGTTGGTGTATCTTGTAGACTGTGTATGTTGGTGCATCTAGTAAACCGGGTATGTTGGTGTGTCTTATAGACCTGGTATGTTGGTTTGTCTTGTAGACCGGGTATGTTGGTGTATCTTGTAGACTGGGTATGTTGGTGTCATCTTGTAGACCAGGTATGATGGTGTGTCTTGTAGACCGAGTATGTTGGTGTATCTTGTAGACTGTGTATGTTGGTGCATCTAGTAAACCGGGTATGTTGGTGTGTCTTATAGACCTGGTATGTTGGTTTGTCTTGTAGACCTGGTATGTTGGTATGTTGTTGTATCTTGTAGACCGGGTATGTTGGTGTATCTTGTAGACCGGATATGCCTTTGTATCTTGTAGACTGGGTATGTTGGTATGTTGGTGTATCTTATAGATCGGGTATCCTGGTCTATCTTGTAGACCTGGTATGTTCGTATGTTGGTGTATCTTGTAGACCGGGTATGTTGGTGTATCTTGTAGACCGTGGATGTTGGTATGTTGGTGTATCTTGTAGATCGGGTATGTTGATATGTTGGTGTATCTTGTAGACCGGGTATGTTGGTGTATCGTGTAGACCGTGGATGTTGGTATGTTGGTGTATCTTAGAAATGGAGTATCATTGTGTATGTTGTAGAGAGTTAAATATATTTTACAAAGGTCACAGAAAATCACTTCTTATTTCAGCAAATGGAGACTAGCAATAAGATAGCCCAGAACCTTCAGAAGCTGGACGAGTGGCGGCAGAAGAGCAACGTCCTCCTGTACTCCATGATGCCGGAGAGTATCGCCGTCCGCCTGAAGCATGGCGAGGACCCCATCAAGACGTGCGAGGTAGAGACAGGGCTGGGCTAGAGGTGATATCCTTGAAGCCTGAAGTGTTGCTCATGATATCAATCACTGCATTGTGTGATTCAGACTTGATTATTTACAGACACTCCTTGTAGCCAATGAGATTCACTGAATTTCCTACCCATCTGCCCCAACAAGGAGTAATGTACTTTAGTTAATGTAGATATTTTCTATTATACCATTTGTTTCATTTAAAACTGAAGGTGAGGTGAGGTGAAATGGGGTTAACGTCACACTTAAGCATATTTCACTCATATGTATGTGTGGCTGCTTGTACTAGCCCAGACTTAAGCTGGTTTTATAGTGCTAGCTCACTGAGAAACCATGCCGCAGTTAAGCATGAATACCCCACTCAGACACATTATACTGACTCTGAGCCGACCAGTCCTTGTTGTACCCATTAATGCCAAGCGCCAGGCAGGGACCAACAAGTACCATACGTTAACGTCTTTTGGTATGACGTGGCTGGGGATCGAACCCATGACCTTCCGCTCTCTGGGCGGACACTCTAACCACTACACCACAGAGGCGGTTCTAAAACTGAATATTATGAATGTTGATATTATTGTATCAATAGTATATTTTGAGTATTTGGATTTAGGGACAGCCTTGCTACTTTACAATGGTATTTCTATATATTGAATCTCTTCAATTTTAAAATAAGGAGTTTGACAAGGATCCGTACTCTTTCCCATTTGATTATGAAGATTTATTTTAATATTTATACCTTATACCCACATATCGATGTATACTTATAACCTTAGTGTTCCTCATATACATACTTTACATTCACACAGCAAAACCTGTAATTAAAATTACACAATGCTAGGATATATTTCTCTTGGTAAAATAGTAGTTTAAGGGCCAGTTTTAGATATTATATTTTACTGATCACTGCATCAGAATTCATGCCATTAGATTATTGGGTTTGTTTCAACTAAATCACTGGTAGATCGCCAGGAAACGTGTGCACAGCTGATTGCAATTTCCGGCTCTACATACATGACAATTACACACGGTAATCTTAATCCCTGCATATAAGACAATGCCTAGCAAAAACAAATTAGAACTGAAAAGGTATATAACCTTCACTGACAAAGTCGTTTTCTTTTGTTCATTCACTTGAAACAATACAATGTTCTTTTCCTACTGGTCACCAGAAAAAAGTTTGACAGGTAACATACCCGAAGATAAGCCTCCCCACTTCTAAAGGCTGCTTTTTGGGGTCTTCAAAATTCAGCTTATCTATGGTAATATACTGGTATGGTACACACTTTACTCTAATATTTCAGACGTTTGAGAAGGTGACGATCATGTTCAGCTACCTGATTGGCTTCAGTGATATCTGTGCCAACGCCTCAGCATTCCAGGTGGTGGAATGTATCAACAATGTCTTCACCGTGTTTGACAACATCGTCGACAGATATAGAGCATTTAAGGTGGGTTCTTGCTATCACAGAAAGTTGACTCAGTTGGTTGTAAGTTTGAAGCCAGGACTTCTCAGTAAAATGATCCTTGCTTTTATCAAAGTTGGAAATGTCTTTTGGTGGCTTGGTTTCTGAAGTTTTCTCGCTTCTGACAGCATCTACCATAGAAAGAAAGTTCATCTGACTGTAAAATTGTGTCAATGTGTTACAGGTGGAGACTCTGGGAGATGCTGTCTATATGGTGGCAGGAGGGGTGCCAGACAGACGGGCAGACCACACCCAACATGTCGCGGGTCTTGCTCTGGAATTTGTGGACAACGCCAAATACCTCAAAGATCCCTTATCAGGGAACAGCCTTAAAGTTAGAATAGGTACAGAAAACAAATCCAAACTTTAGCCATTATGTTTGCTAAAACTTAACCCCTAGATAGACAAAGGGAAAGCTTGGAAGAAGAAAAACATCTTGTGGATGTGCTACAGGTGTGTCTGCCTGTAACACATCTTGTGTGCTAAAAATATCAACATCAGGAAATATCCAGTGTCCGAAACTAATTCAACTGACCACAGGCAAAATAGTAATGAAAATCAAGTGAAAGGATTCATGTAAATCATCGATGACACCAGGTGACAATGAATGGAAAGAGAACTTCTGGATCTGTAACTGATTGTTCTGGCAGATCAACTTAATTATATTCATTTTTCATTTTTCAAATATGCCTATGAGGTAGCCTTGTGGTTGAAGCGTTTGCTCATCAAGCTCAAGGCCGGGGTTCACCACATGGGTACAATGTGTGAAGCCCATTTCTGGTGTCCCCCGCCATGATATTGCTGGAATATTGCAGGAATATTGCAACATGTCGCTCCCTCCCTCCCTCACTCACTCACTTCCTCCCTCACTCACTCACTCACTCCCTCACTCACTCACTCACTCACTCACTCACTCACTCACTCACTCACTCACTCACTCACTCACTCACTCACTCACTCACTCACTCACTCACTCACTCACTCACTCAGACTAAAACAATATAATCTAGAAATCAACATTACATGTGATTGTATACTGTATGTCAAACTTCATAACATTTTGCCCCAAAATATCTCTTAAAACAATTCCATGTATTAGTCGGTGTGTGAGTTCCTTCTGTTTGTGTGTACAGGGATGCATGTTGGGGGCGTGGTGGCTGGTATCGTGGGCAAGAGGACACCTCAGTATTGTCTGTTTGGGGACACGGTCAACACTGCCTCCCGGATGCAGTCATACAGTCTGGTAGGTTCCTTGTGCTCTGAATCAGGACAATGGTCACTAAATAGCCCAGCAACACCAAAGGACTGATGACCGCTTAATGGTACTTAACCTGTATCACAACTTATCAGTTTAACATAGGGAGAGCCCAAACTGAGGCAGATTTTCAGTGTCTGTCACTTCAATGGATCCCCTCACATGGTACTGACATGCTCAGGATCGTTAGCTTAAAAACACTTTGTTAGAAGATCCTGCTGTGAGTAAGGGATGCAACTCTGCATTTTCTTTTGATCCCTGCTTACAGAGATTACACCATGCCATTTAGAAAGTGGTCTAATGTAACATATAGTATATTTGGGATCACACTTTCTTAGCAAACCTGCACAATGTGTTAAGCCCATTTCTATTGTCCCCTGCCGTGATATTGCTGGAATATTGCTAGAAGCGGCGTAAAACTAAACTCAGTCAGTCAGTCTTAGCAAACCTAAACCGCTCAAGTTAGGAAGTCACGGTGGCTGAGCAGGCTAGGTGACTTTGTGTGATGATGATTAGGTGCCTGACTCTGAGGGTGTGGGTTCAAAATCCAGATGGGACTCAACCCAACAAAAGTACAAGAATCTGTACTTTACTTAGAAAGTGTGATCCCAAATATAATATATGTTACCTGTTTACGGTGTAGGAACCTGCTTAATCATTCCACCTGTGAAGATCCAGGTTAGATTTGATCTACAGTAATCCATGCCATCATAAGAGGCGAATAACGGGATCGGGTGGTCAGGCTCGCTGACTTGGTTGACACATGTCATTGTGTCACAATTGCGTAGATCGATGCTCATGCTGATGATCACTGGATTGTCTGGTCCAGACTCGATTATTTACAGACCGCCGCCATATAGCTGGAATATTGCTGAGTATGGCGTTATACCCAACCAACCAACCTATGCCCAAATTTTACCATTTTTGTTTGAATACAGCATAAAACTCAACTCACTCACCCACTTAATCATTCCTTACTGGTCCATCTGCTTCATCTTCTGGAATAGAAAAGCATGAGTGGCCGAGTCATGCTGGTATTCACACTGCTGAGTTGCTTCCCTTAGATGTGGCAGAATCCAGTGATCAGTGTTCAAATCCTGATTCCTGATTATCATACTAAGCGTGCTGACTTACTTTTGGGTCACATTAAAGTCGTATACATTATAGACCTGTATCATTTTGTCTATCCTTCCACATACAAGCTAGGACACCATGATATAACGGTTCAAAGTGATGTGACTCCCACCTCACTCACTTGCTCACGGGAAGTGATGAACTGGATGTTTGCCACTTATACCAAATAGATTCAGTTTTGGAGCTACTGTTGGAGGTTCTCAGTAGTGGTGTTCCGATTAATTTAAATAATCGAAGGTTGGTCGCAGTGACCAAACGACCAAGCAATCGATCACATTTTCTCATAATCGAACATAAACGATTTTGGAACTACTGTTTTAGTCTTTGAAATACTTGACAATGGAACATATCGTTGAAGTTGTCAGGGCCTGAAAACGTGTTTAATTCTTAGAAAACTCACTTCACTAACTGAAAAACCATGACTGAATATTTCTTGAAGACTCCGGGAAGTGTATGTTCATGATATATTAGTCATCACTTTAAAGTAGCAAGTTGCATCATGTTATACATATCTGCAATAACAACCTGGATAGGAAAATCTGAAAAATGACACTAACCAATTTTTGTCGATGATTGTTCGTTGGTAATGTAGCAATCATCAATTGTGAGATTTCAACCGATTCCCAACACTAGTTCTCAGGGTCTTAGGTGGAACAGAGACCATATACCGATATATGGTCTCTGGGTGGAATATTCCTGAGTGTGGCAATAAACGACAAATGAACAAAATAGCAAACAATTCTGAAATGAACTTGTGTATATTTCAGCCAGGTAGAATCCACGTAAGCCAGACCTGTCACGAGAATCTCCAAGGATCTGAGTTCTTGACCATCTTCAGAGGCCTGGTCAATGTCAAGGTCAGTACTTCAAGGTCACAATGTATTACCCTGGGGATGTGAATACCAAAGAAGTATCAGCCTTGCTCCTTCTTAAAAGATTATTCTGTGTGTTTGTTTTGATCTTTTGTTAAGAGACACTTTCTAATTGTATGCATCATGGATATGCATTATTTAAAGGTGTTGAAAGTGTTGCAGATGATATTTAGAGGTTATTGTATGGCAGTTTTAATGTCCCATAACAATACATTGTACCAAGATCCATATGGGGCGGTGGGGTAGCCTAGTGGTTAAAGCGTTCGCTCGTCACGCCGAAGACCCGCGTTTGATTCCCCACATGGGTACAATGTGTGAAGCCCATTTCTGGTGTCCCCCGCCATGATATTGCTGGAATATTGCTAAAAGCAGCGTAAAACCATACTCACTCACTCATTCACCAAGATCCATATATCAGCCCTTGGATTTAGACTTGATATCTGTTATTCTGTTATGATATGAAACTACTATATAATCATATTAATTATATACCGAACATCAGTTGTAAAATATATCCATTCATAGCTGCCAGGGCCCCGTTTCACAAAGCTCTCGTAAGCCTAAGATCTCGTAACTTTTCTCGTAGCATTCGGTGCATTCTATACTGTAAGCTATGACTTAGCTTTGTGAGCTTTGTTGAAGGATCATGTTCTTGTTTTGGGTATGTTTTGATTTAAATCTGTCTTCACTCCATGTAGCTTTTAGTTCCATATTTCTGTTTACAAATGAATGGTATGGAAGACATTGTCACAGGAAGGCAAGCAGAACTTACCAGCATATGCTCCAGTTTCTTAGCATCGGGCTGATGTCTAGCCCAGTCAAAGTCAAATCAGTTCAGTGGGGCTGTAATATGGATGTGGTTGTAACATCTCTGTGTAATGACTGTCACTTTGTTGTTAGGCTTGGTATCATTGTAAAGAGCTTTGTGAAATGAACTAGCGTTTTCCCAATGCCCAGGTCTGCAACTTGCCAACTGCAACCAAACTTTGTTGGATAGCTTCACTGTTGATTTTAAGGATCATGTTCTTGTTTTGTGCACAAAACTGTGTACGTTTTGATTTAAATCTGTCTTCACTCCATGTAACTTCTAGTTCCATATTTCTGTTTACAAATGAATGAAATACAAGTATGAAAGACATTATCACAGGAAGGCAAGCAGAACTTACAAGCATACTAAGGGAGGTAATTAAACTCCAGTTTCTTAGCATCAGGGCTGATGTCTATTGCCCAGTCAAAATACTGAGTCAAATCAGTTCACTACCATTATACCAAATACTGAGTCAAATCAGTTCAGTGGGGCTGTAATATGATGTGGTTGTAACATCTCTCTGTATTTCCTGACTTTTTAAGCTTTTGATAAAGTTATGACATGATATACAGATTCACTACCATTATACTGAAGTATTTCCTGACTTTTTAAGCTTTCGATAAAGTCATGACATGAAATACAGATTCACTACCATTATACCAAAGTATTTCCTGACTTTTTAAGCTTTCGATAAAATCATGACATGATATACAGATTCACGTCCATTATACTGAAGTATTTCCTGACTTTTTAAGCTTTCGATAAAGTTATGACATGATATACAGATTCATGTCCATTATACTGAAGTATTTTCTGACTTTTTTAGCTTTCGATAAAATCATGACATGATGTATAGATTCACTGAAAGAGTTTATTAATGTTTCTGTACAGGAGATACTTGGTAACAGCTGTCTTCAGTTGTGAAAATCAGCATTGCTTCATTTTCTATGCAAACACTCAATAATAAATCCAGAAATAAATCGCAATGGATATCCTCAGTGAGTCTGCTAAGGCATTTTAATTGTGGAGCATCTGCTACAAAATAGTCAATACAGGCTTGCATAATACGTATTTTATAAGAGAAAAGGCACAGGTCAATTTACAAAATTTTAACAATGTTGCATGAGAGGGAAAGTAATGAATATTTTCTGCATTATTTTCAGCCCTCAAAATTCAGCAATTATTTCCTGTATAATTATTGTTAACATTAAATGTTAAATCTCCTGCTCCAGATAGCTCTTACTTTCTTAATATTTGAAAATTAAGTATTTAATTCTTGTCAACCTGTACTGAAAGTGTTTCTTGGTAACATATTGTAGTAGTTTTCAATGAGAGATGGTTATTCCGACACCTCAACAAATGACCTTGACCCCTGCCTTCACTCCTTAAACTGACCAACCACTGCCTGTTGGCTTTCAGCCCACTGCCCCAGACGAGCCATCGTCCAGTCCTTCGAATGGGTTAAGTGGCTGACGGTTCTTCTTTCTCTTCCTCTTTTTCTTCTTTGACCTTGCTTCTTCTGCTTCCTTCTTGGCTGTATCCTCCATAATGGCGACACGTGGTTTGATCTTCATTTCTGCTCTCTTTAAGGAGTAAGATCTGTCATTCTTCAGATGGTACCTTAAAGATGGATGGAAAAAATAGAACAATTCAATGACTTTGCAACAAAGAGAATGGCTAAATTCACCCCCAAAATACACATTGCTATGCAATTTATGGGTGTGAAGGCCATTTTCTGGTGTCCCCACTTGGTGATTTTTCTGGAATATTGCTAAAAGCAGCCAAAAACCATACTCACTCACTCACTGTAATTTGTGGTATTTGAAATTATCACTAAACGATGCAAGTAAAATAACATGATATTGGAATATGTTATTCCTGATATAATACTGGTTTCAGATACAATTTATTCCTACCATACCATTAAATTCCATGAAATTATATTAATACATACTTTCCAACTGAATCAGCTGTATATAAGGACAAAATGTGAGCACACCTGATTGCTATTTTGCTATTACTCACTCACTCACTCTCTCTAACATCCTGTATTCTATAACCTACCAGATGATAACCTATTTTGATAACTCCATCGGGTGTGATGTTGTTCTTGCCTCTCTTATAGAACACTCCATGCAGGGACGACGCTCCACACTGAACACTCTGCACTCTACGCTGTCCACACTGAGGTCTCCTCTCTCCACCTTCTGCTCTCCACACTCCATGCTCTGCTCTCCACGCTCACACTCAGCTCTCCACGTTCCCCACTCCACTCTCACTCCATGCTCCGCTCTCCACACTCCACGCTCTGCTCTCCATGCTCCATGCTCTGCTCTCCACACTCCACGCTCTGCTCTCCACGTTCCACTGTCCTCTCTCCATACTCACACCCACACTCAGCTCTCCACGTTCCCCACTCAACTCTCACTCCATGCTCTGCTCTCCACACTCCTCGCTCTGATCTTCATGCTCCACTCTCCTCTCTCCACACTCACACTCAGCTCTCCACGTTCCACACTCCACTCTCACTCCATGCTCCATGCTCCGCTCTCCATGTTCGTCTCTCCACTCTCCACGTTCGTCTCTCCGCTCTCCACGTTCCACACTCCTCTCTCATTACACACTCTATGCTCCACTCTCCATGTTCCACTCTCCTCTCTCCACATTCCACGCTCCACTATCACTCCAGGCTTCATGCTCTGCTCTCCATGCTCCACAATCCACTCTTGACGCTCCCCTTTCTACACTCCAGCCTCTGCTCTCCGCTCTCCGCATTCCACACACCACTCTCCATGCTCCATGCTCCACTCTCCACGTTCCACACACCACTCTCCACGCTCCATGCTTCACTCTCCACATTCCACGCTCCACTCTCCCACATTCCACGCTCCACTATCACTCCAGGCTTCATGCTCCACTCTCCATGCTCCACGATCCGCTCTTGACGCTCCACTCTCCACACTCCACTCTCCGATCTCTGCTCTCCGCACTCCACACACCACGCTCCAGACTCCACACTCAACACTCACCAGATGATACCGTTGATAACCCCATCAGGTGTGATGTTGTTCTTCCCCCTCTCATAGAACACACCATTCAAGGACGAGTAATGACAAGCCTTGAACCACCACCCCGACCGATCCTTGTTGGCACAGCTTGTCCACCATTGGTCATTGTCCTTGTCAGGTGTGCTGAATGGCATCTTGTTGTGGTACTTGAGGGAGTCTCCAGCAGTGCCTTCGTATCCTGACACGTGCAAGGGGTAGAACTCATCTTCGGGGGCCAACATTGAAGTAGTCATAAAGAGCGTAGGTGTGGTCGTTGTTCCAGTCCCAGATCTCCACCCTGAGGGTGTAGTTCATGCTGCGTGTCATGTGGTAGATGTTGTCAAGACCCAGCCAGAACTCTGTGTTCACGTTGCCGAATCCGAAGGCGTAGTCGTCCCACTTGCGTGTGAAGTTAACCGTTCCATCTACACGGCGCTGTATCACTGTCCAGCCGCCAGTTGTAGTATCCATGTCGCAGTAGGCGTTGATGACGAAGTTGTTTGGCAGCTTGAGAGGATAGATGCCGCTGATGTTGATGCCACTCATCTTGAGTTCATTACAGTCTGTTGCCATAGGAACAAATAGAAAAAGATCAATATTTATCAGTTTAGAGTGATAAATACAATAAAGCCCTGTTCATCCAGATAACTAATTAGACTATTGAGATCGTAATTGCTGTATTTGTTTGTAAAACAATCTGTAATAAGCCTAAGACAACAAAAATTGTCATTTAAATCTGATCTGAAAGTCCACGGAGCTGGCCAATCTACAAGAACCCAATGTGCAACAATCGGAACCAGCCTCTCAGACAGACTGCATAGCTAAAGACTTGACCAGACTGTAGAGCATAGTGAAACCTACCTCTGGCTACGGGGATGTCACTCAGAGCTGGGAAACCCCTGACTCGGGTGACCTTCGGGTTGACGCTGTTGGAGATTCGGCTCAAGTCACGTGACAACTTGCCCTCTAGACGAGACACCATGCTGCAAGGATTAATTATTGTATGTGAGTCTAGTGCATTGATAGTGAGTCGTGTTTGACTCACATTTAACAGTATTTGGGTTGACAATGTTGGAGATTCGGCTCAAGTCACGTGACAACTTGCCCTCTAGACGAGACACCATGCTGCAAGGATTAATTATTGTATGAGAGTCTAGTGCATTGATAGTGAGTCGTGTTTGACTCACATTTAACAGTATTTGGGTTGACACTGTTGGAGATTCGGCTCAAGTCACGTGACAACTTGCCCTCTAGACGAGACACCATGCTGCAAGGATTAATTATTGTATGTGAGTCTAGTGCATTGATAGTGAGTCGTGTTTGACTCACATTTAACAGTATTTGGGTTGACAATGTTGGAGATTCGGCTCAAGTCACGTGACAACTTGCCCTCTAGACGAGACACCATGCTGCAAGGATTAATTATTGTATGAGAGTCTAGTGCATTGATAGTGAGTCATGTTTGACTCACATTTAACAGTATTTCATTTATATTGCAATTCTCCTGCTTAGGCTTGGAAGAAAGCTCAAACAGATGGCGGTTATGATGCATATTACTGTGGCCAAATTGTGGGTAGCATTCTTGTTGACCTTGGGAAAACAAGTCTCAGATGTTTGCATATTTTCCCCTGCACTCAGCAAATATCTTACTACAGTGAAACCCGCCAACACTGGCACCTGTCTAATCCGGCACACTGTTAAAACTGACATTAAATTTTGGTCATGCCATTTTACAACAATATTATGATCATTAAAACATTGTCTAATCAATCCGGCACCTGTCTATTCCGTATTCAGGCACGACTTTCCAGTCCCAACAAGCAATTTTAAGTATAATTAACACTGTCTAAACTGGCATGGGTATGAACAGTCCAATCAAGGACCAGTAATCTAATACACTAATTAATCCTCTTGGCACGCCAGATAATCAGGAAGTAGAGATTGCGCGGTGAATCAAACACTCTAAACCGGCATGGGTATGAGAAGTCCAATCAAGGTCCCTTAATCCAATACACTCCTCTCGGCACGCTAGATTATAAGAGATAAAGAGATCGAAAAGTGTAAATGGCAGCAAAGACCATATATGGTCTCTGATGGCAGCCATGTTGGAAAATGATCGTCACTGTCTAATCTGGCACCCTGTCTAAACTGGCATTTTATTTCGGTCGCGTGGGAATCTGGTTTAGACAGGTTTCACTGTATATGACAGCAGTCAGTAAATACCGGTAATCAAGTCTATATCAGATAATCCAAAGTTTTAACATTGTGAATATCGATTTATGCAATTGGGATACAATGACATGTGTCAACCAAGTCAGAGAGCCTGACCGCCCGATCACAATTAGTCACCTCTGACGACAAGCATGGGTTACTGAAGACCAATTCTAACTGGGAGCTTCTGAGATGTAAAATCCCAACAACGGTATCCTGAGCAGAGGATTCAGCTCTGAATGGTTACAATGGGAATAAAACAAAATTTACTTTTCGTCTTGTTAACTAAAATCAGCAATAAAAAAGACTGAATGCAGTCTAATTAGGGAAAATCTCTTTCAAAGAAACTTGAAATAGATTATAAAATAAACATAAAGCAGTGTCATCCTTGATTATCCAGAGTCCACAAATATGAAACTTCTGCCACTTCTGGCTGTTATATTGAAAGTATATTGATATCTCATGTTACCTTGAGAGAGATACTACTTTTGAAAGGTAAAGCATGCTTGTAGGTTGTACAACCGAATTGTAAAACCTGCTTGGAGGATTCACACTTGAAGTGTAAGACATAATTTGGTATGAACAGTCTTCAGTGTGCTTCTACTGTTTATTTTTGACTACTTATAAGTCAAGATTTTTATATGAATTGAATGAGTTTAGTTTTATGCCATACTCAGCAATATTCCAGCTATATGGTGGCGGTCTGTAAATAATTGAGTTTGGACCAGACAATCCAGGGATCAACAGCATGAACATCAATCTATGCAATTGGGATACAATGACATGTGTCAACCACGTCAGCGAGCCTGACCACCCGATCCCATTAGTCGCCTCTTACGACAAGCATGAATTACTGAAGATCAATTCTAACCCGGATCTTCACGGGTTTATCATCCAAAACTGTGTTCCACAGGAGATATCGCTTGTGGTGAGATCAAACGATATCTCCTAGGAGATATCGTTTTGACAGTAGATTTTGTACAATGCACTGACAATGCTATGACGTCATGTACTTGATGACGTCACAATGCTATGACATCGCTGCACTGCAAGTCTAATGGCAGTACCATGTTCAGAGATGTACATTTTTCATTGAAAATTAATGAAGAGTGATTTTGGATGATAAATAGAATCTCACCCTCGTGTCTTCTGATATCAAATATATCAACACTCATTGATAAAAGTAAAAATATCCTTGGCAAGCCACGGATATTTGTAACTTTATCAACTCGTGTTGATATAATTGATATCAGAAGACACTTGGGTGAGATTCTCTATTTATATGAATTGAACCAGCGACCACATACATGGTTTTCTTTTCTGAGATGCATACTCGTGAAGTCAGCCCATATAGCTGTGATCAATTTTGATGACCCAATCTTTAACTATGTCATTGTTCCATGACCACCTACACCCCCTCTCCCCACACTCACACCCTCCCCATATAGCTGTGATCAATTTTGATGACCCCCCTCTTTAACTATGTCATTGTTCCATGACCACCCTCACCCCTTCTCCACACACTCACACCCTACCCCCAATAACTGTGATCAATTTTGATGACCCCCTCTTTAACTACCCGGTATGTCATTGTTCCATGACCACCTAACCCCCCACGTCTCGCCCCTCACCCACCCCCAACCCCCATCAATGAATCTCACTGTCAGGTTTGAAGTATTTCAGTAATTACTTCCTACATGTGCACCGCATCTCAATGGGATATTTGTTCGCTGCAACGATTCATACATGCACAGGAATCTTCACTCTGAATCTGCCATCAATCATGAAGCACCTGCCAAGACATGCTTTTGTTTTCTCAGCTTAACTTTTCAACTCCAAATATTTAGATGTGTACATTTTTGTTTTCATTATCAACAATAATTTTTATTTATTGTGACCTTCAGACATTCTTGCAAGTTATAGATGGGTGTGCTGTTGTTTCCATCAACAGACTGTTTTGTTAAAATAAATCATTAACTTCAGTTCCAAGAAGAACACATGTCGGAAGTCTGTGACAGGATATCTCTTGCCATCTGATACTCTCACTCTTTTTTAAATTTTAATTTCATTCTTGAATGTCTGATGTGTTTAGTTTATAACACAATATTGTACATTCTTTGTATTTATTCTGCTGAGAAGTGCAAAACTTACGTATTGGGTTGATTTTCAATAATATTCCAAAGAAATGGCTTTTGGCTATACTAATGCTCTTGATCCAAGCAGAAGTCCAAAAATTTCAAATGTAAGAGAAAAAACAATAAACCAACCAAACAACCATTCTAGTTGGCGCCTCATAATGGTAACAGATGTTACAACTCACATCCGTTGTTATTGCCCAGTACAGTCTCCTCCAGTGAAACTTTAGTGAGTGAGTGAGTTCAGTTTTACGCCGCTTTTAACAATATTCCAGCTATATCACGGTGGGGACACCAGAAATGGGCTTCACACATTGTAACCATGTGGGAAATCGAACCTGGGTCTTCGGGGTGACGAGCGAACGCTTTAACCACTAGGCTACCCCACCGCCCCCCTAATTACATTAAACTCGGTTAGCACCACGTTTTATGGCTAGCGTCACTGGTCAAAACGTTGTGTTTAACTTTTTCGATTGAAATATGTCTCTGCTTGTCTCACAATCAAACAGCGACAGGACAGTGTTCACAGTCTCATAATGCATCTGTGGCAGCTTCATCTGCATGTATTGATCTACATTTGTGTTGGAAGCAAATACCGGTATGTGATGTTCATATTGCCTATCTTGTTTTCGATAGTCACAAATTTCATTGAAATTAAGATGAGGGAAGATGTTTAACCTGAATGTAAACCATCGTGAAACCTTTTCATCATTTGTGTTTGTGGTAGCGTACATCTTAACGTAGGGGGCAGACACATCAATAGATGTTTTAGATGCGATGTTTCAGTATAGATTCTTATACCATCATCAAGCAAGAGTGAAGTACTACAGCACAGGGGGCGGTGGGGTAGCCTAGTGGTTAAAGCGTCCGGTCGTCCCGCCGAAGACAACGGTTCGAATCCCCACATGGGCACAATGTGTGAAGCCTATTTCTGGTGTCCCCCACCGTGATATTGCTGGAATATTGCTAAAAGTGTCATAAAATCATACTCACTCACTCACTCACTACAGCACAGAACAGACTTATATGCATAAACAGGGATTAAATGAAAACAACATGTGAGTGATTGGGTGAGTTTAGTTTTATGCTGCACTCATCAATATTCCAGCCATGGGCCAGACAATCCAGTGATCAGCAGCATGAGCATCGATCTACGCAATGGGATATTATGACATGTGCCAGTCAAGTCAGCGAGCCTGACCACCCGATCCCGTTAGTCTCCTCTCCGACAATCATGGATGTGCTGAAGACCAGTTGTAACCTTGATCTTCATGGGTTACAAACAACATGTAGGGATGCAGGTTTAAGAAGTTGCCAGACATAAAGTATCTTACTTTCCTATTGCTCACCACATGTGAAGGTCTGGGTTAGAATGTACCTTCAGCAACCCATGCTTGTCATAAGAGGCGACTAACGGGATCTGGTGGTCAGGCTCGCTGGCTTGGTTGACATATGTCATCGGTTCCCAATTGCGCAGATCAATGCTCATGCTGTGGATCACTGGATTGTCTGGTCCAGACTCGATTATTTACAGACTGCCACCATATAGCTGGAATATTGCTGAGTGCAGCATAAAACTAAACTCACTCACTCACTCCTATTACAGTGGAAGCTGTCAAAACCAACAGCTGTCTAATCCAGCAAGTTGTCAACACCGGCATAAAATCTCAGTCCTGTCCATGGCCAGTACATTTATCATCATTTAAAAGCTCTGCAATCTGGCAGCTGTCAATTCCGGATCTCGGCATGAAATGAGCCACCGGAATATGTGTTTATACAGTAATCAGCGCTGTCTAATCTGGCACATAGCGAGGAATCGGCAAGATGTGTATTGTCACCAATTAATCCTTTGCTGAAACTACATGGTTGCCGACAAAGATAATTTAACCTTAGTTCAGTATGGGTGTACTTGTACATGTAATTAGTGAAAACTGGCACTCATGAGGGATGTAAAATAAGTGAATATGAGCTGAAATCTCTGTCTTTTATTGTCAATGTGTGCAGTAATTGAGATAACCACGTGATCCAGCAATGTATGTGAAAGTGACAAAACTCATTCAGTTCTAGTCGTAGGTAACTGTGTCAGCTCTACAATTCCCGCATGCTGTCTAAACCGGATTATTTCTTCAGTCCCGACGAGTGCCGGTTTAGACAGCTTTCACTGTACTCACCAACTTCTAAAATGCCAATCAAACAGATCAATTGTCAGTAAGTATTAAATCAATCATCTTAGACAAAGAAATCAATTCTGTTACCTGACGAGGTTATTAATCTGCACGTCTCTCTGCACCCGGTCCTGGGTGGTGTCAAACTGGATCCTCTCCAGGATCATACACATGTGCTCGTTCTGCATTGCTGGCGGCAGGCTCCGAAATCTGTTTGTTGTGCACTGGTTCTCCTGGGCCAGCGTTGTCACTGCCGTTGCTCCCAGGAACAGCAGCGACAACAGAAGTCGCATGATGACGGCTGAGTTTATCTGCAAGACACATTCCATCATTAGGCCATAAAACTGATGGTTTGTTTGCAGTGTGTGAAATAATTTCAGTATATTCCTGGCTAGGTGGTCTAGCCTATTATACTACATCCTTAAAATTTAAGAAATAAACTGTTACTAGTTGACAAATAAACTGATATATTGGTTGACAACAAACATATATTGGTTGACAAATAAACTGTTCCTATTTGATGAATAAGCTGTTATTGCCTGACAAATCAACTGTTATTAGTTGACAAATGAAATGCTATTGGTTGACAAAAAAAGATGTCATTGGTTGACAAAAAAACAGATATTGCTTTACAAATTGACTTGTAATGCTTGAGATATAATCTTATATTTCTTGACAAATAAACTTTATAGCATGTAAGATTTTTAAGTTACTGTCACAAAAGTGAATAATGTTCATTTGTCTGAGAAGCTGTGTTAGCGGTCTTAGGAAAATCCTGCCATTCCGTTTAGAATCTTGTATTTCAACTGGTTCTTGATACTGAAACTGTGACGGAAACTTTACCTAATACACATAACAACACTGATACACAAGAAATCATGTACTAAGAAGCTTGTCTTTGACAAATCCACAATCAAGACAATTTGAAATGCTGATAATGTCTAAAAAGATGTGGGGCGGTGGGGTGGCCTAGTGGTTAAAGTGTTCGCTTGTCACGCCAAAGACCCGGGTTCGATTCCCCACATGGTTACAATGTGTGAAGCCCATTTCTGGTGTCCCCCACTGTGACATTGTTGGAATATTGCTAAACGCGGCGTAAAAATCAACTCACTCTAATAGATTTTGCTGCATAACATATTTTAGGCTGAAAACTTGCCAAACAATTTCACAACTTAGAGAGTGTATAGTCATATTCAGTGACATCGTCACAGACATGCCATCTTCAGGATAATGCTAGGACTGCTGGCTATTATATTATGCTACGAGTATAGTAGTATAAATACGTATAACCTTAGTGTTGATTATACATATTTTATATTTATAGAGCAAACACTGTAATTAAAATTACACAATGCTAGGATATATTTCTTTGGGTTAAATAATAGTATTCTGTATTAAATTTTACTGATGACTGCATCAGAATTCATCCTGTTATATTATTGTGGATGTTTGAACTTGATCGCTGGGAAACGTGTGAGCTGATTGCTATTTCTGGCTCAAATACACACGGTAATCTTAATCCCTGCAAATTATACAGAGCAAAAACAACTTAGAACTTAACAGGTAAATAATCATGTCTAGTGATGTTTATTTGCAAATTGACGTCTTTACTGACAAAGTCGTTTTCTGTTGTTTGTTCACGCGAAGTGATACGATGTTGTTTTCTTACCCCTGGAAAAAGTTTGACGAAAGCGTAACCCATAGATAAGCAGACTCCCTTTTATAGACCAGGTTTTTTATCGTCATAATTCGGCTTATCTATGGTAATATACGGTACTAGTGGTTTGTACTTTAGATCACAGTTCCATATTTAGCATCCTTTCCCCACCCCAGTATTGCAATGCTAATCATCCCTACATGCCTACTATGACTGACTGACTGACTGAGTTTGGTTTTACGCCGCTTTTAGCAATATTCCAGCAATATCAAGGCGGGGGACACCAGAAATGGGCTTCACACATTGTACCCATGTGGGGATTTGAACCCGGGTCTTTGGCGTGACGAGCCAACGCTTTAACCACTAGGCTACCCCACCAGCCCCTGCCTACTATGAAGCCCATGATTGTCAGAATAGCTCAGAGACATGGAGATTTAATTGTGCAAGTTCAAGTTGGACAGCGAGAATGAATTTTGTAGTTGTTTTGAAATAATAATGGGACACACACACATTCAGTTCATTATACATGTATATTATTATCATAAATCTCAATTTATAGAATCTCTAATTGATCTGATCTGTGCGATTTTATTTTAGTCATTACATTAAATCTTCACACAGAATGTTTTTTCCGAAACCAGAGATTTCAGGAACAAACAAACCCTTAGAATTCCGACGAGAATATACAGAGTTGTTGTTTCAGTAAGAACATGTGACAATCATTAATCTTTGTCCACATGTGACGTTCTATTTTAAGGTGGTGGTGCATGTGCGGTTATTGAAAACCCATGGTAGGATATGGCTTAAGTTGTCACATGTGAAATTTGGTAAAAATATTTACCGAAAAAATATTTAGTACATTTTTCGGTTGTCTTAAAATTGAATAGCGACAAGCGGTAATTGTGTGGTAAACAGCCTGAGGATATGGCCCATGTTGAGTTTATTAACTTGAGTGGATTGAGGCTGCAAAAGCTTTTTTTGAAAAATAATCTTTTATTGCTTTAAGTTATTTGAAAGAGTTAAGTCTAACAGTGAAATTTAGTTTAGGAAGAACTGTTGATGAACTGAGAGAAATTTTGCTAATTAGGTAATAAACAATCTTCAAAAAGTGACATTTAAGTAATAAATCTGTGATATATTCCTACTTCTCTAAATGAGACATAGGAATAACAAAGAATATTATCATACAGCAATATGTTTGACAAATTTTAAAGGATGATTTGAAATGATAGAATTTTGAAATAATTTGTCATCCTAATAAATGTAATTGGTTTTGGTTTTAGATTTTAAAAATGAAATTAAAATGGTAACTGTGTTGGAAGAAAGAGTCCACTTACCTCTGTTCAGCGAAATACAGCAGAGGTGGGTGCTGCGATGGAGATGTTACGCTGTCAAGTGTTGAAGGCTTACTGAGCCAGACTTCATGACCACCCAGTAGAAAACAGTGCCCCCTAGTGGGGTCTTTGGGTATCGCTCAAAATGGCCGCCAGAGATTGGAGCGACTCTGACAACAGACTTGCCAGATGGACATCATTACGGAAGGCAAATGTCAACGTGGCCACAGATGCTGAGGGCGCTTCAAACCGATTATTTGCTTCGGGGACTTTATAAATATTGTTTTCACATTTGTTAGGTGTAAATATTTAGAGATTTTGAATGATATTCTTAACTGAAACCTTGTTGGTCAGATGGCATAATGGTTGCAGTGCACCTTTGTCTTGCTGAAGGTTTTGGATTGGTTCCAATGTTTGGGACTAAGTTTTGCTGTCTCCTGACATGATGTTGCAGGAATATTAGTAAAAGTGGCATAAAACAAAACTCACTTGTAACCTCAATAACAACTTTTGACTTCAAGTGAGTGAGGTGCGATGGGGTAGCCTAGTGGTTAGAGTGTTTGCTTGTCACGTGAAGACCTGGGTTTGATTCCCAACTTTTGTACAATTTGTGAAGCCCATTTCTGGTGTCTTCTGCCATGATGTTGCTGGAATATTGCTAAAAGGGACATAAAACCATACTCACTCACTCACTCACTCAAGTGAGTGAGTGAATAGGGTTTAAAACTGTTATAAATAAATAAAACTGTTATAAATACTGTTTGGTACATATCACTAAATGTTGGCTGAATGTGGAAAGAAACCCAAACAAGTGACAGAGATGGTAAATGCTTTCCTGTTCCCCATAACTACAAATATGGTACTGACAAACCACTGATTATAATCAGGAGTTCAGGGTTCATCCTCTGTCAGCACCTTCTTCTACTGGGCCAACCATGTCTTCTTTTAGTGAGTGAGTATAGTTTTACGCCTCTTTTAGCAGTATTCAAGAAATATTATTAGTGATGGATGAAGAGGGTCCATATATTGAGCCTTCTTTGCAATGAGCAAACACTTTAACCCAGTGTAGGAAAGATAGCCCGTCCCAACGTCCGAGACGGGTGAATTTTGTGGAGGACGGGTTAAAAAATATCTAGTCCGTCCTCATGTCGGGTCAATTTTAACAAACCAATGACATGTATATAATGATTATAACCTTTTTGAATATTTACTGCCGAAGGTGTTTTATTTATATTTGGAGGACAGGCTAGATTTTGGCAGGACTGGTAAAAAATTTGACCTGCCAGTCCTGTGGACAGGCTAGATTTTCTACATCTTTCCTACACTGTTTAACCACTAGACTTTCAACCACCCCTCCCTCAATTAGAAAGTTTGGTGAGGTAGCCTAGTGGTTAAAGTGCTCACTCATCACCCTGAGTGAGTGAGTGAGTTTGGTTTTACGCCGCTTTTAGCAATATTCCAGCAATATCACGGCGGGGGACACCAGAAATGAGCTTCACACAATGTACCCATGTGGGGATTCGAACCTGGGTCTTCTGGCGTGACGAGCGAACGCTTTAACCACTAGGCTACCCCACCGCCCTCTCATCACCCTGAATATCTGGGTGTGATTCCCCACGTCAATGAAATGGGTGAAGTCCATTTCCACAATATTGTTGAAAGAACAAAAGCAGAGTAAAGCCGTACAGTTGACTCCTAGTCACTCAAGGTTTAGGCAGGGCGGTGGGGTAGCCTAGTGGTTAAAGCGTTGGCTCATCACACTAAAGACCCGGGTTTGATTCCCCACATGGGTACAATATGTGAAACCCATTTCTGGTGTCCCCCGCCATGATATTGCTGGAATATTGCTAAAAGTGGCCTAAAACCATACTCACTCACTCACTCACTCAAGGTTTAGACCCAGCCAGAATCCATCATAATGGATGTTTCTCTGAAACAGTCGTGTTTCTCAATCGGCCTCGACTCCCACTGAGACACAGGTGACCCTCAGCTGAGGTCAGACCTGGTCAGTCAAAGCTCCACACACAATACAATGGAAGAAAGTCACATAAAGAATTCATGTTTACAGCTAACTACATTCTTACATAGTATAATTTTATTTACTCAGCATACCTGGCATGCATTGGGAATGATATAATGCCCGATCTGCATTCATGGAAAATACAAAGCCGTCTGAAATATGAAGGATGACCTTTAACCATTATTAGCTTTTGAAAATATAAAAAACAATAAAATGATATTGATTGTTGTAAACATACATGCACTTTCGCATGTAAACAGGCAGTAGACAAGTGGTAAATGTTTCACGATGCGTGTGTTTGCTCTGAAGATAAACAAAGTGAGCTGACTTATATCTGCGTAATAGCAGAATGGCGGCTTGTTGTTGTACAAAGTTTTTGTACAAGAGTTGTAAGGACTGAAATAGAAGTGGTCTAGTTCACAATGAAGTTTGAGCTCTGCCAAAACAACATTTTGTTAAATGAATATTCAAGTCAATTTTTTATTTACTATTATTACTCACAAACCATTAAAGGATGTGCTCAAAGCATACAGAGTTGTTGTATGTGGTCTTGTGTGTAGATGTGTGAGGCCCATTTCTGGTGTACCCCGCCGTGATATTGCTGGAATATTGCTAAAAGCGGCATAAAACTAAACTCACTCACTTGTGTGTAGAGCCCAGGTCTAACATGTGTTGAAGTTAAACAACATTGGATGGGTGACGATGTTCCCACAATGAAACACACGTGACAAATATGGTCTCACCCTAGGCAAGTGAGTTTGTTCATAAATTGCTATGTTCACCTAGCAGTGAATGGGTACCTGGTAGGGCTGGTAACCTAGCCCCTCACAGGCAGCTTGGGCTCTCCAGGGTAATAATGCATCAGTGCTTAGAGCATGCACTAGTGTGTTGAAACAGGCTCTTTATAAATAGCCATTATCATAGTGTTATAACCATTTTACATGGTCGCTGTTTCTGTTTGGATCCAAATTGACATATCAGCTCCATGGGAGAATCCATACGAGGGAATTGGTTTACTTACATTCATGTTGCCGTTTCATCCTACCAGGTACCCTTTGGCAGCTGGATGGTTTTACTGTGTCATGTCTTAGAACCTGGGTTGGGAGGAATCCCAAGAAACTATCAGAAGTTAATCTAATCTTAGCAAAAATACAAATTTGTGAATATGTCCCCTGTGTGGCCACACGGGGCGGTGGGGTAGCCACGTGGTTAAAGCTTTCGTTTGTCTCGCCAAAGGCCCGGGTTCGATTCCCCACATGGGTACAATGTGTACAGCCCATTTCTGCTGTCCCCCACGGTGATGTTGCTGGAATATTACTAAAAGCAGCGTAAAACCATACTCACTCACTCACTCACTGTATGACCACATACTAATTATAAGTCACAGCGTACAACAACAGAAGCAGGTTTAAGGTTGGTTACACAGGAAACTAAGGGTACTAGAAAGTTTTTCTATTTATTACCTACGAGGGTGAAAATATTGGGGTTCATATTTTTCATACGATGCCCTGGGGCAAAATATCACTTTGTCATGGTGGCGTGACGTCATGGACAATGCTATGACGTCACATGTCTTCTATGATGTTGCGTTCTACATGCGGTGACGGCGGGTAGCCAGCCTATGTTTGAAAGTAGTTTTGGGTGTATTTTTCTCAATTTGACAACTTCGGTAATAAACAGAATATTATATTCGTGCCCATATCATACTATTTTTACGACACTTTCGTGTCTAAATATCGGTATATCCCTCGCTTTCGCTTCTGGAAATACCAACATTTAGGCACTTGTGTCGTAAACATGACATGGGCACTCATATAATATCCTCTATTTACAAACCTTATCTTTGCTGATTAAAATTTCTGGAATTGGTATTTTCAGTTTAGAATTAGTCACAAACAATAAAATCTTCTTAATAAGTTTTTCGCCTAGCATTACAAGCCAGGCCAACAATTATCATTGTGTTGTGTTACCAGTTCCAGGGGAAGTGAGAATTTTAAGAAAATGAATACAATTGACAAAGATTTGTAACAGATCTGTTAATAAAAAGTTATTTTGTGTATTGGCTGTTAGAATTCTGATTCTTTATAATTATAATTATGGAACAAATTTGACAAAGTTATACAGTTATTAATGACTGTGAGACAGACTACATATCGTTTCTGGCCACATACACATCTGATATGACAATATACTTTAATATGTGGAAGTGGCGGTGGCTGAGTGGGTTAGATGGCTGACTTTGTGTGCTGGTGATTAGGTGCCTGACTCTTAGAGAGTGGGTTCAAATCCCAAAAAGTATTCAACGTAACAAATGTACTGAAATCTGTACTTTCTGGAGAATGTGTAATCCCAGATATGTTACTTTAATATTCCAAGATAATAATGTGTCAGTTTATTAATGTTGATTATTATTTCTCATTAATTTCATGATTTACTTATTGTGTTGTCAATGTCTAACAAATATAGCGTTGAGCTTTTATGCAACAATATTCCAGCAAACATGAACGGTTGACGCCGATACCGACTTGTGTCCAGTGATACAAATGTACTACGCCATCTGTTTCTTATACCAAGCTATGATTTCCAACAAGTGTTTTCATTTTCAAAGATTAAAGTCAACAGCCATCTCCTTGGACAATATCCGTCAGGTAGAAAAACATGGCCGAGGTGACGACTTGTTTACGTTTACAGGATAACATGTTGATGACACTTCCTGTTCAGTCGTGGCGGCCATTGTGGTTACTAACACCTGTGTTAACCCCGAGTTGGGCAAACAGCTCATTAACCCTTTGAGGGTTGATTTCAATAAGCTGCTGTTAATTTTTGTTTGTTATTTGTGAATATTGTTTGCTTCAAACTACATGTGTATTTGGTATTTTATACATGCTGTTGTCATGGAAACGAAATACAATGATTTTGTTTTGTTTTCAAAAGAAAATGTCAACTGTAATTTATAAACTATCCTGAAAAATGTTCAATAACCTGCAGAAGTTTTTTTTATGCCGCATGCATTGGATTTTGGAATTTGGGCAGCTGGGTGGTTCTGTGGTGTATGTGTTGCCTTGTACAGGGTTCCCACAGACATGGCAGGCCAAAATTCCCTGACAAGTAACGTAAGTCCCACAACTTTGAAAGTCAATTTCGACCTACAAAAATAGTTTAATCGTAGAATAATTGTTGTTTTAAATAATGGCTATATTTCACTACAATCACCAGTGGCTGAAGGAATGGTGTAAATCCAACTAGGGTCCATGCAGGTAGCCAAAGTACTGTAAGTCCCCATGGTCCCTGGCATGGTGATCAGCCTTCAGTTGCTGGCGATATATAGCCCATGTTTACAAAATAGTTTTCTACTTTTAAAGATATATGCTAGCTAGTTTTAACTCATATTGTGATAATCTTACTGTCCTTCGTTGACAGGGTTTTATATATTATATGTATGTATTATGAATATGGAACTAGTTTTAGTCACGATATGGCTGAATATTGCCAATGTGACTTTAAATTTTAACTCACTCACTCACCCTGACAAGTATAGATTTTTCCCTGACCATTAGAGTGTAAAAACTGGCCTCCTTCCTCCCTTTCAGTCAGTCCTAACCACCCTGTTAAGATATTTCCTTCAGACATATCATAAATACACACAGTATTTGTTAATTTATTACATTAACCAAAACATTGATATTTGTGATGAAGAAATTTTTTTCCTTGACTCTCCTGCCACAATGTTACATAATACTATTAGATACATTTGACTGTGACCATCAAATATATATTCTCAGGTGAAGTCAGTAATATATCATCTGAAAACTTTGTATTTTATATTAAAGGCTTTTGACAAAGAGCATAAATGTGAAACTAATGATTTAACTGAATTGTTTCATTCAAAGTCAGGAACACATTTCTTCATTATCACAAAATGTTGGAATTATCAACGGCGTATTTGGAAAGAATAAACATGCAAGATGTAACTTTACATTCAGTACAACCATGACAACTAGATTATGAACACCATTCAACCACTTTCAATTTTGTGAATAAACAGCAAATGTCAGAACATAGGGCATATTATAAACCTATGCTGTACTTTAACAATGAAACTTATATGGGTATTTTTGGCCAATATGGGCTTTCACAATTTGCAAGAAACCACCATAGCCATCACACTATTTATAATATTTTGGAACAGTATACAAATGAATGGAAAATTATCTGTTAACATAGTTATCTTTAGAAGAGGTGGATCTGTTGCCTATAAAGAAAAATGTTTTTGAATGGCAAACAGTTATCTATTGTTAATCACTATGCCTATCTCGGACTAGTGTTTTTCCATACTAAACAATAGTCATCAGAAGATGACAAATCCCCCGGCCCCTACAAATATGAAAGAGCAAATCGTCTGACAGTTACTTAAAGTTGAACTTCATTTTTTTTTAGACAAAGTCCAAAACGTTTCCATTGAAACCAAGAAAAATAGATAGGAAAAAAATCTGTAAATAGCAAAAGGCACCACTTTAGGTTCTGTTTGATATATCTGCCAAGTTTTGTTGAAAGATATTCAACGGTTTTCGAGTTGTGCTCCGGAAACAAAGCCCACCACTCCCTTTTAAGACTCAATCTAAAACGTTTCTATGGCAACCAAGAAAAATTAAAATGACAAAAATCTGTAAATAGTCAAAGGCACCACTTTAGGTTCTGTTTGATATATCTGCAAAGTTTTGTTGAAAAGTATTGAACCCTTTTCGAGTTATGCCCCGGAAACAAAATGATTACGGACGGACGGACAGACGGAGAAGGCGTCGACTATATCCCATATCCCATGTCGACTATATCGACAAAGCCCACCACTCCCTTTTAAGAGTCAATCTAAAACGTTTCTATGGCAACCAAGAAAAATAAAAATGACAAAAATCTGTAAATAGTCAAAGGCACCACTTTAGGTTCTGTTTGATATATCTGCAAAGTTTTGTTGAAAAATATTGAACCGTTTTCGAGTTATGCCCCGGAAACAAAATGATTACGGACGGACGGACAGACGGACAAGACGTAAAGAGAGTGTTATAAATCTGAAATCACATGCTAAGAAGGCTCAGAATTTTGGAATTTTAACCCAGAAAATATGTTTCATATTTTTTGATTCGCAAATTCAACCAATTGTGCTTCATAGAAGAATATGTCTGTTATGTAACCTGTCTGTAGAAGATGAAATTCACATTATGCTGAAAACAATACATGCCAATAATAATCTGTAAAAATATCCTTCAAGTGACTTTGTTTCCATTCTATCCTCCAGAAATGAAAATGTAATATGTCATCTAGGGCTTTATGTAAATATGCTGTTATGCTTAAAAGCAATCTCTTATCTGAACTCCCTGACTTTTCCCTGACCTGTGGGAGCCCTGTTGTAGTACTGAAGACAGAGTTTGATTCCTTGCCTTTGGAGAGAGAAAGTCTGTGTGTTAAATGATGCTTGCTTGAATAGGCTTGCCCATCTGTCAGATGACAAACATGATGATTTGTGGGTGACCTTTTATTTGAGATGACATAGCATGGTAAATGAACAGATCAGGTGCAGAACACAAACGTGGAGCCAGAGTTCTGCTGAACAAGGAAATCACAAATTTAGTATTTGTCTGTGGAGAAAGGTTAATTACAAGAACTTGTTATTTCAGGGTAAAGGGCAGCAGAAGACCTACTGGCTGGCTGGACAACGTGGGAGCCCCAGCACCGACAAGATGGTCGAACTCATCCAGCAGGAACAGAATCATCTCAAGGCCCCTGGGTTGAGGTGTGTGGTAGTGTGTGTGTGGTAGTGTGCGTGTGGTAGTGTGTGTGGTAGTGTGTGTGGTAGTGTGTGTGTGTGCATGCACACGCACAGCAGCAGCAGGTGTCAGAGTGTTGTGTGTACAGGTGTCATATTGTTGTGTGTGTTCAGCAGGTGTCATATTGTTGTGTGTGTATGGCAGGTGTCATAGTGTTGTGTGTGTTCAGCAGGTGTCATATTGTTGTGTGTGTGTGGCAGGTGTCATAGTGTTGTGTGTCCAGCAGGTGTCCTAGTGTTGTGTGTTCAGCAGGTGTCAGAGTGTTGTGTGTGTATGGCAGGTGTCATAGTGTTGTGTGTGTCCAGCAGGTGTCATAGTGTTGTGTGTGTGCAAAAGGTGTCATAGTGTTGTGTGTACAGCAGGTGTCATAGTGTTGTGTGTGTTCAGCAGGTGTCATAGTGTTGTGTGTATGGCAGGTGTCATAATGTTGTGTGTGTTCAGCAGGTGTCATATTGTTGTGTGTGTGGCAGGTGTCATAGTGTTGTGTGTGTTCAGCAGGTGTCATATTGTTGTGTGTGTTCAGCAGGTGTCATATTGTTGTGTGTGTATGGCAGGTGTCCTAGTGTTGTTTAGCAGGTGTCATATTGTTGTGTGTATGGCAGGTGTCATAGTGTTGTGTGTCCAGCAGGTGTCCTAGTATTGTGTGTCCAGCAGGTGTCATATCGTTGTGTGTGTATGGCAGGTGTCAGAGTGTTGTATGTGTCCAGCAGGTGTCCCAGTGTTGTGTGTTCAGCAGGTGTCAGAGTGTTGTGTGTGTATGGCAGGTGTCAGAGTGTTGTGGGTGTATGGCAGGTGTCATAATGTTGTGTTTTCAGCAGGTGTCATATTGTTGTGTGTGTGCAAAAGGTGTCATAGTGTTGTGTGTACAGCAGGTGTCATAGTGTTGTGTGTGTTCAGCAGGTGTCATAGTTGTGTTGTGTGTACAGCAGGTGTCATATGTGTTATGTGTGTACAGCAGGTGTCATATTGTTGTGTGTATAACAGGTGTCATAGTGTTGTGTGTGTACAGCAGGTGTCATAATGTTGTGTGTGTACAGCAGGTGTCATAATGTTGTGTGTGTTCAGCAGGTGTCAGTGCTGTGTGTGTACATCAGGTGTCATAGTGTTGTGTGTACAGCAGGTGTCCTAATGTTGTGTGTGTTCAGCAGGTGTCATTGTTGTGTGTGCAACATGTGTTATGTGTGTACAGCAGGTGTCATATTGTGTGTATAACAGGTGTCATAGTGTTGTGTGTGTTCAGCAGGTGTCATAGTGTTGTGTGTGCTCAGCAGGTGTCATAGTGTTGTGTGTGTTCAGCAGGTGTCATAATGTTTGTGTGTGCTCAGCAGGTGTCATAGTGTGTGTGTACATCAGGTGTCATAGTGTTGTGTGTACAGCAGGTGTCATAATGTTGTGTGTGTGTCAGAAGTCATAGTGTGTCAGCAGGTAGTGTTGTGTGTGTTCAGCAGGTGTCCTAGTGTGTGTGTGTGTCAGCAGGTGTCAGTTGGTGTGTCATAGTGTTGTGTGTGTTCAGAAGGTGTCATAGTGTTGTGTGTGCTCAGCAGGTGTCATAGTGTGTGTGTGTTCAGCAGGTGTCATAGTGTTGTGTGTGCTCAGCAGGTGTCATAATGTGTGAGTTCAGAAGGTGTCATAGTGTTGTGTGCTCAGCAGGTGTCATAGTGTTGTGTGTTCAGCAGGTGTCATAGTGTTGTGTGCTCAGCAGGTGTCATAGTGTTGTGTGTGTTCAGCAGGTGTCATAGTGTTGTGTGTACAGCAGGTGCTCTAGTGATTGGTATTTAGGAGTGTGTCGGTATTGTTAGTTCCCCTAGTGTCTGGAAATGATAACTGACGCTTCCATAGCAGACCAATATTATCATTCATGCATAAAACAATTTCCAATCTTTTCTCAGGATTTTTAATTTAGTTTTGTCCACAAATTTATGAAAGTTTGATCTTTAAATCAAATATGTAGAACTTGATGCTTAAACCAGAAAACTGAAAAAGAAGCTGAGTCAAGTTTGGTAAACAGTTCTCTCATTGCCCCTGTCTTGAAAAGTTAAAGAATTAGACTTGGAGTAATAAAGATTATTTATGTTAGAGTAGGGTTGGGGTTAGCCTGGCTTTAACCACAACAGAATTTAAGTGCCTCAAGTCAGAGTTTATTTTCCTCCAGTTTTTCCTGCCATTTAATCAGTCCCAGCACTACATGTTTGTTTCAGCTCCAGGTGTGTCCAGCCTGGCTTTGATCTGCATGGCCTTCACATGTCCAACAGTGGGTCTAACCTCGCCGCCACCTTCAACCAGATCACCTGCAGCCAGGACGAACTGGACAGTGACTTCAAAGCAGAGCAGGCGGCCAAAGGTCAGACATGATGGTAACAGTGGCACTCAGGGCATGAAATACATGTGGTTTTAACAGAGGTTGATTGTGTTGATTGTTAACTTGGTGTTGACTACTGTAGATCCTTGTAGGTAAATGGTATCTCCTGTCACAAAGTCAGGGTGACCTTGACAGGGAGGGAAAGGTCAGACATAGTGGAACCAAATAACACATGGAAGACACATCGGTAAACTGGTTCCACACTTGATATGAGACCCAAGTTTACCCAATAGGCAGCCAGACAAAGTTTACCGAACAGGCGTCCAGACTAAGCTGTAAAAGTGTATACTGTATCTGGGTTTTGTCGGGCAAGCAAATTTGTATATCACACTGTACCGGTGTCCAGTTGACTTTCCAATATTTATTATGTGGTTAATTTGAAAAATCAACAAGAAAACGGCTGGTATAGTGGGAAAATTATCAGGGCAAATGATTTTACATGTGCCACTGTACCGGAGTACACTAGCAATTTTAAAGTTATTTCCACCCCTGCAATCTCCATGTTACTTCTTGTATTGTAATTTCTAATGAGACATGATGTTTCCCCGTGATATTAAATGTAAACCATTTGTCCTATATAGTTTTGCTCTGTGGGTGGCAGAGTAATGATCTTCCAGCAGACGCTAATGGTTTCTCATGATTCAGTATGTAAACATGGCGTTGATCTTGTCTTGTAGGGAGACAGGGACTTAGCAACAGTCTGAGTGACATCCGTTTCATCGATGAGGATGACGACACAGAGGAGCAGTTTAACGGAGCCAGGAAACTGCCTCCAACATCAAAGAGTGCTTCACCATTAATACCAGGGGGCGATAGTAGCCTCATAAACAATCCACAGCAAGATCACAAACCTCAGCAAAACGGACCTTGTCGTGAGAAGACCGACCACCACAATGGCTCCGCCAAGGGGAAGACGTTGCTGCCATGTCTCAAGACAGGAATGTATGCCGATGTGTCAGAAACTCAGGATATGACAGCTAGTTGTTCCTGTTCCTTGCAGGGAGCATGTTCTTGTCCCATCCAACCTTCCCAAGGTCAAGGTCACTCTTAAAAATGATGTGGAGTCGTGTTTGGTATTAGGAGAAGTGATTGTGATAAGAGACTATGGTATGAACATATCTACAACTGGCATACCAAAGATAAAAACTATTGTGTTAAACACATAGACATGTGTAGTCTATTGCATACTAAAATCAGAGACCATATAATCTATTATATGCTCTCTGCTAAAACAAATAGAATTAGGTTTTGGACAGTAAAATACTGATGCTAATACTATGAATAGATTTTGTTCACTAAATTTGTTCACTAAAATGCCAAATGGTATATTAGATTTTGTGCACTAAAATAAGACAGAAACAGAAGTAGATTTTGTGCACAAATTTAGTAATACGATTAGATTGTGCACTAAATGTGTTCACAAAAATACAATCAAATATGATTAGATTTTGCGGCCTAAAGTACTAAAGTATTGCACACTACAACTATTTGCTGGGTTGAGTACAAGTTGTATTCAGATGATTACGATGAAAGTTAACAATGATACTGCTTATTCATCCTTTTCTGAACATGCTGCCAGCCATTTTTACTGTGCAGTCTGCTGATATTTCTGCAACAAAATACACAAATAGTATGCACATGTCTTTCTTTATCAACACACATAATTTTGTCTTTGGTAGGCCTGTATCAGGGATTTCAAAATGATCTTACCGGCCGATTCTTTTCATCATGATGTTTTAAATTCAGATGAATTGGTCCTTTATCTGGATGTGAATTAATGAATATGATCTAAAACTGTATCTGAGATGATTGTCACCAGACTTGATCTCTCTTGAGGAAATGTTCATTGCACGAAAATGTGGAATGTAGAAGGCAGAGAGTAGAACGCAGAACAAGTTATGCGTACGTACTTGGTTTAGTCGATCCAGCAAGTTGGTTGTTTGATCCCAGCTGGTTCATACTGAAATAAGAGGCGGTGGGGTAGCATAATGGTTAAAGCGTCCGCTCGGCACGCTGAAGACCCGGGTTCGATTCCCCACATGGGTGCAATGTGTGAAGCCCATTTCTGGTGTCCCCCGCCGTGATATTGCTGGAATATTGCTAAAAGCGGCGTAAAACAATACTCACTCACTCACTCACTCATACTGAAATACTTGTTGTTGCCTTGCCTGGAGATCAGCATAAGGGGAGACAACAAGGACTGGACAGCTTAGAGTCAGTATGTCGTATCTCAGTGGGGTATCCATGTTCAACTGCAGCATGGTATCTCGGCTGGCTAGCACTATAAAACTATATTAGTTCAGATGAGTACTGGCAGATTCTCACACACACACAAGGGTTGGATATTGGAGTCGAGGGGGTGTTGAGTTGAAGGCTGGGATATGTCGTAGTCCTTGTGCCATGGTCTCTTGAACATAGGTTTTTCAAGGAATGACACACCTTATGTGGTCTCTTAAACATAGGTTTATAAAATGAAAGACACACCTTATGTGGTCTCTTAAACATAGGTTTATCAATGAAAGACACACCTTATGTGGTCTCTTAAACATAGGTTTATCAATGAAAGACACACCTTATGTGGTCTCTTAAACAGGTTTATCAAGGAAAGACACGCCTTATGTGGTCTTTTAAACATAGGTTTATCAAGGAAAGACACGCCTTATGTGGTCTCTTAAACATAGGTTTATAAAGGGAAAAAATAGTTCTCATAATTATTTGTTCATCAAAGGACAATATATTTACTGTGGTCTCTTTTAGAAAATACGTATATCAAGGAAATATATGTAGTTAATGTGGTCTCTTTGATGTATGTGTATAAAGGAATTATAAAGTGGTCTCTTAAATATATTTTTATCAAGGGAAAAATTGTTTAATGTGGTCTCATGTAATATATGTTTATCTGGGGGAAAATATTAATTTGGTCTCATAAAATATGTGTTTATCAACTAAATATATAGTTAATGAGGCTTCTTAAATATATGTGTTTTAAAAAATATATAGTTAATGTGATCTCTCAAATATATGTTTATTAAATTATTAAAGGACACTATATTTACTGTCATCTCTTAAATATATGTTTATGAACGAAAACTATAGTTGTGATCAGTTCAAAGTATCTTCATTGGCAGGCATATGCTTTGGAGCAAACAGTTATAACATGCTCTATGTAGTTTTTCTTGAAATGGCACCTAAGAGAGTTACTTCTATTTCATTATTGACCAGGGCGGTGGGGTAGGCTAGTGGTTAAAGCGTTCGCTCGTCACGCCGAAGACCCGGGTTCGATTCACCACATGGGCACAATGTGTGAAGCCCATTTGTGGTGTCCCCCGCCGTGATATTGCTGGAATATTGCTAAAAGCGGCGTAAAACCATACTCACTCACTCATTATTGACCTGCTCTTGTCTGAAATAAGTGGCAAAACTGTTAATATGTAAATAATGTTTCCTATGTGAGAAATATTGGCAGGTCAATGAACCAAGCACAAAGTAAAATGCACAGTCTGTATAGTGATTAATAAATTGTAATAGTTTTACAACATTCCCAGACAATGTATCGATACCGGTGCCAAAATGGTTAACAAATTGTGGAAGGGATTGTTGTTAATCACAGTGCTGTTGTTTTGTTAAGCACACACGAGGAACTTGAAATCTGATGAAAAAAATGCCTCTAACATCATTTTGAAACCCAGGAACCATTCCAGTATGACTGACAATCATCAATTTTGTCTCAGTAGTTAATAACTGTTGCCTTCATTGTATCGGTATATGCAAAGAGTTGTACAATATACCTATTTTCTTGCATATCATTTGTATGAAGTCTTCATAGTTGTAAGGGACTGGTCTTTTATTATGTTGGGTGGCATGTTGGATGTGTGTTGGGGTTTGGGGGTGGGGGTCCTTGGATGATTGTGGCATATTATGCTGACTCATTTTATGTAAATGTTTAATGAAATCCCTTTAATTCTTACAGATCTACCTCTGTTGGGGGCGGTGGGGTAGTCTAGTGGTTAAAGCGTTCGTTCATCAAGCTGAAGACATGGGTTCAATTCCCTTCACGGGTACAATGTGTGAAGGCCATATCTGGTGCCCCCCCACTATTATATTGCTGGAATATTTTTAAAAGTGGCGCAAGACCATACTTATTCACTCTCACTCTACTTTTGTTACATCATTGCCATAAATCCTGTAAAGAAGTGATTTTTTTCCACCTTAGCAAGCTGAAAGGCTGGATGCTGATAGGTGGTACTGTTGTCTTAACAACTGATTGTGTGTAGTTGGCATTGAAGATGACTTTTATTGAAAACTAGTTTTTAAAATTACTTTTGAGAAATTGCAGCCAAAATACATGATTAATGGCAATGATATAATAGAGACAGTGTGCTTAAGATTACCGTCAATAATTTATATTGTTTCTATAATGAAATTCCAGTCAGTAGATAATGCTAAAAGTTATTAATTTTGTGTTTGAAACAAACTGTGTAGGTTTTTCATCCATATAGTTTTGAGACCCTCCCTTATTCACTATGCCACTCCATAATCTCACAAACCCACCCCCCCTATAATATAAATGACCAGTCCCCAAGACTTGTATTTAATCATATGTCCATCACAATGCCAAATACCATGACATAGCTTCTGAACAAAACACATGCAAATGTATGCAAAAGTATGCAGATGTATGCAAATATACAGTGGTGTTATTTTTAAATTCTGTACTTGACATGTTTCAACATTGCCACATCATAAGTATCAGTGTAAATGTCTCTCTCATGTGTTTGTTGTAGGAAAATGGTTGACAGTTTGTTGTAGTAGTTATGGTACAGTCTATTTTTAATGATAAATCTAGATTCTATGCTGTCATGTTGCCTAACATACCAAAAGTGCAATGCATAAATTTATTTTGTTCTTTACGTGCAACTAACAAAACTTAAGGACCACCTGATTGTTTCAATTACTATTGTTGATTATGATATATTTTTTGGTTTGTTTGTTGTTTAATGCCACACTCAGCAATATTTCAGTCATGCCGGAGCGGTCTGTAAATATTTGAGTCTGGACCAGACAATCCAGTGATCAACATCACGAGCATCGATAAATGCAATTGGGATACAATGACACTTGTCAACTGAGTCACCAAGCCTGGGCCCCTATTCTCGAAAGTGTCCCAGCTAAGACAGATCCTAATGACTTAAGACAGGAGTTAGGACATCCTACAGTTAGGATAAGACCCATTCTCGAAATGATCTGACTCCTGTCCTAACTTGAGCTACCAATACAAGCTAGGATAGCAAGCTCTTCAGTAGGTGAGATAGGAAAACATTCATTAAGTTGGGGATTCCCCTAAATATTACCCATGATTCATTCCATAAAAAACACACAATATAAGGAAATTCAGCTTTTGATGGACCTAGTAGATTTAGAAGAAATTATTCGATATTTTCATCATATTATAGGAGTTTTGAAGTTTTTGAAAATTCATTTTTGGACAAGGCAATAACAATTTTACTTCAGAATTTGAAAATCTGCCCAAAACAATAAGGATATTAAAGATATGTGCACAAAATATTTTCTTTGCATTTGTGAAAATCATGACTTGAACTCTCATTATGCGGCCCCGGCCCGTCATCTCACAAATTGAAAAATTCACCAAGAAATAAACAGGAGTTACTTCCCCTATCAAGTTGGCCTTGACATTGAAATTTCATGGCAATGTGACTGAAAAGAGCAATGTTGTGATTAAAAAGGCCGAGAATAGGTAAGAATTGAACAAATCTCTTTCCTTGATCTAAAGAATGTGTGCACTGCAACAAGTGTGTCTTTTCATTAACGATAAATTGATAATATATACTCAAAAAACTCTTCGTAACACATCAAAACTGTGTGCTGTTGTAAATTCAAATGTAATTTAGGCGAGTTATTTTGTTTGACAACATCAAAATTGGTGAACAAACAAGAACCACACCATGTTGACTTCCACTAAGATAGACTTAGGACAAGTCAGAACCTATCCTAGTATTTGTCCTAAGTTAGGATATCCTAGCACTAGGATACTTTTCGAGATTAAGGTAGAACACCTATCCTAGACCCTAGGATCAAAGTTAGGATATCCTAGGGCTAGGATCCTTTCGAGAATAGGGGCCCTGATCCCATCAGTCACCTCTATCGA